ATAAGTTTTAGACGTTTCGACTTTACTTGGTCTTTTTCAATATAAACAATAAACAAAATATTGTACTTACAATCAATAGCCACTGCTACAGTTATCGAATTGCGGTATAATATACTTCGTGAAGGTTAATCAAACGTAACAACAAACACATTTAATAATACATTAATAAAAATACACACAGATAATACTAATATACATCAACAGTCACTCTCGAGACATCATAGTGAAGCTTTATACAATAATTGTAATATGTATTCGAATATCTCTCAACACAACTGTAAGTCAACATCAAAAATTATTTGATTATTCTTATGCACTGATAGTTCTCTGTTTCATTTTCTAACACCATAAAAGAACTACAATATTATATTATGGACAGCTTAAAAAGACAATTTCTCGCTTGACAACGACGAATTTTTCTTTTTAAAAAACCTAAAGTGTCTCGGAATAGTTTCACAAAATGACGAGAGACATCACGGTGCATGAGGATTCGCTTATATTTTTTATAATCTGACCGATCTATAAGATGTTGCGTCACTACCTGTTTTTTTATTCGCCTTATTAATTTATTATGTTTCAAATGTGTTTGTTGTTACGTGTATGATTACGTGTTTGATTACGATGTATCGCAATTCCACAACTGTAACAGTGGCTATTGATTTATTGTAATTATTTTGTTGATTGTTTATATTGAAAAAGACTAAGTAAAGTTGAAACGTCTATAACTTATTTGGATTAAAGAGTGTGATATAAAATATATATACCTACATATGTCATTTGATATTATTGTCAAGCATATATTTGCTCGTCATATTTAGTCTTTTTAAATAATTTGTTGTGTTACAATATACGAGCCATATGTTTAATTAATTGTTGTTTCTTGAAAGATCTCTCAAATCTCTTATATTTCTCCAATTTCTCTTTCGCGATCTAAAAGCCGCAATAAAAATCGCGTTTATCGTTCATATCGCATTTCCGGTGCTCGGGACTGCTATGCAAAGTATGGTATGCAGTGTAATGCCAAGAGTCCGCAGAGATTACGATGTAAGTTAAACCGCGAGTTACGTAATACACAGTTTGTAACTGAGTAGCTCCTTAAACTCAATAAGAGGGAAACAATGAGCCATTAAGTACCGCTTGTTCAATTACCGATAGTTAGACCGCGATAAGTGATATTCAGCGGCTTTTATCACGCCACCGTGATTAAAGGATCGTCAACTATATGTTCACATTGCTTGATTTTATGTTCCGAAGAACCTGCAAATTAATCTCACTTAACGAGCTGCTCAAACGTCGCTCGCTATTTCATCGCGACCGCAACCGATAATCGATGATTTATTTCTCTTGTATTTTTGCGTGACAAAAGAAATAAGATAACTTATAAACAATATAATAGCATTGTTTTTTAAGAGGATGATTAATCTTCAACGCCCCCAAGAAAATTATTCGCTTATTTATCCTTTTGATTGGAAAGGAGTTCTTCGATCTCGTGCAAAAATTAATTAAAAATTTTAACAATTCTAATATAATTTTCCTTCTGCTTTTTAATAATTATATTAATATAATTATCCGTAATCTTGTTAGCTCTATAGCTTTTTCACGAACACGTCGATAAATAATTTATTATTAAGCGAAACTAGGACGGAACGAGTTAACGACCGCGATGAAATTGTAGATCATCACTCGAAATTATCAGCCGTTCGCGGAATACTGACAAGAGAAAAATTAGCGATTAATCAGGGCGAGATCGGTGTTTTGCGGTTTTTTTTTTCAAGCACGCATCTTCTCGAGGTCAGATTAAGAAATCGAACTTCGGGCACGTCTGGCCGGTGGCCGGCATCTGAGAAAGGAGAGATCGCAAGGTGCGTTGCGCAACGGTCCCCGGATAATTTATACCACTCACGGTTAACAAATACCACGCACCGTAGCTTTGTGTGAGCAGCGCGCGAGTTATTTTGCACTCTCTCTGTGGTATGCGAACTATAAATTGCCGAACAAACGTTGCATTTGCCGATGTTGATCCTTTCAATCGCGTGGCGCTTATTATTGCTTTCATGTATGAGAGACTTATTTACGCTACCGCGATACCCTCGGACGATATCACGGACAATCAGCTCCCGTTATATCTGTAATCGATGCGGCGTGTGAGATTAAACTGATAATTTATCTGTTCACTTCAACGAAATTGTTTTAGATCGGCAATCTCTTAAGATCTAATTATTTATACACTTGAGTATAATTTACGGTACGGTACGTGCAGTTCATTTTAGGACGTAAATTAAATTCTTTTTATTATTACTTTATATTTCATTTTTGTTTCTTTTCTAATGAAGATTATAAATGAATCTTAATTTATGTTGCGAGTCATATTAATTCTATACTTTAAGTCTTTACTTATACAATATATTGAATCTCGCAGAAAGGTCTCTTGTAAGGAGATTTGAATACCGTCTCTCTTATAGAGAGAAACGATTGCAAATATACGTGAAATAGAAACTACGATCATAGAGAGATAATGTTGTAATATTCGTCGAAACTAAACCGAATTAACTGGGAGAAAATCGTGCGGATATATGTAGAATGCGGATACAGTTTAAGTAATCGAATGCTTTCCGCTAACGGAAACAGCAAGAATGAAAAAGGAGAAAGAATTTGCTACTTATTTAATTATATAAATAGTCTTCAATATATGAATGTCAATTAAAAAAGTCTATAATATAAATGTATACATTTTTATTAAATCAATAAAATTAATAATTATTGCAAGATATGTATGTCCATATGAATATATTAGTAGGTCAAGCTAGATATAATTAAGATATAGCAAAAAATATTTTTCTCTAAAATAAAACATTAAAATTAATTGAGAATAATGACAAGAACTATAATATTTAACAATAAAGCCTAGAAATAAAAAATTGGATAAAGCGCAAAACATTTTGACCACGTAAACTATGTAACTAGGTAAATTAGAAAATTAGGAAAAGCATAGAAGACAGGAAAGAATAATTTTGATCTAATTTATTTTTGTATTAAATTTCCTTTGATATGTAGTCCGTCGAGAAAAATCATCTGCAATCGTCAATATTTGTTCAGTTATTGTGCAACTCAAGGTCGTTGAGTGGCCCCAGGTGAATTCCTTGACCAACGAAATTCTTGGAAGTTTCATTGAGAAGATTAAAAGGCCAGATCGCCGAGTATTTTCCTTTTTTTTGGTAGCTTTAGTGTTTTTATCTTTTGTTCGCAGTCTGCTATTTACGCCTCTTAAAGAGATTGCATTTACTGTTATCGAACTGATAATTCCATGACCGCAATTAGCGCATATTGTAATGTAAATGTGGATTTGCTTATAAGCAAATAATTTGATGAAGGATGAATCAAACAACATACAGAGAGGTATTTTTCTTATTTTTGCCTACCGTAAATAATTGATATCAGAATGTTTTCCATAAATTGCGAGCGCACTTTAATGTACAATATGATGCATTGCATCGATGCATCGGAGCTTTAGCCGGTAATTTCAAAATTGCATCATTAGCGTCCTACATTTAATTCGGGAGTGAAAGCATGTTGACCGACTTATACGCAATGAAGAATTCCCAATGATGCTGGGATCTCGTAACAATTATGTAACGAAACGCTCGAATTATAACATAAGTTATGCATCTGGCCCGTCACATTTCGGAACTTTATTCAATTAACATTACTTATGCTTTCTAAGCAGAAAAATGTGCAAATGTTAATCATTCAGTAACAATCAGATTTGCATAATGATTTCAAACACTTATGTATAATTATTGTGTATTGTTTAGCATAAGGTTAATAAAAGTAATTATCAACCAAGTAAATAAAACATAACACTCATTAAATGTATTTGAATTACAAAAAATGATAATTTATTAGTTTTTATCGTACATTAATGAGCGCAAGTGTAATTTGTCGCAAAAAATATTGACATTTATTAGCAATATGCGCTTTGGCATCTTATGTTAACACTTATCATCTATAATCGATACTTTCATTACGCAAATCTCTTAGAAGTTCTAACTATAGGATCAGAATGATAAAGATTATTTAAAAACAGTTACACACATGTGTATATACATATATATAAGTATAATTAAAATTGTAGATTAATCGTTGTCAAAAATATTCTAACCTTCTAATACAAATTAATTTATTAATTCGTGAAATTTTATTTGTGTTTCGAGCAGTTCAACATAATTTATGTAAGTTTTTATCTACACGGAGTCTTCGTTTAAAATCTTCTAAGGATTTACAAATTCTCAACAAATAACAGGGACTACCAGTTTGGTAGCAAAGAGTCTCTTGCTTAATCTTGATTCTAAGATCCTAGGCTATTGCTATGGAAAGTGTGTTTCGTAATATATTTTCCAGGTTATTTACGCACTATTCTACGAAGTAAGCGTTTCTATTTTGTATTAATAATTTATTCAGCATAAACTTGTAGTTGTGTTATTATATATAGCATTTATATACGTATACATACACATACACGCACAATTATTTCAATTAAATTATTTTTTAGTATGTAGTTATATAATAGCAATTTCGCAAAAAAACAAGAAATTAAGCAAACAAGTAAAAAAAAAAACGATATCATATCGATTATATATCGCACAGCAGAGTAAATAATATCTAGTAATTCTACCACTCTGTTTTAATGATGTTTTTTCTAAATTAAAAATGTTATTCCACATTATTGAATACTAAGTATTATTACATACAATATGTTTCTCTGAAAAGTGTTGTCAATAATTATAGAACATGAGTTATTCAATGTACGCAATGCTTGATACTCGGCACTAATTTTCAAATGTAGGTCAATGCTTGCTCTATGAGAAATAGTAGATAGCTATAATGCCCACAACTGTCCATAAAAAAATTGTTTGCGCAAATGCGCATTAAGTGTGCATATATTTAATACTGTACGTTTTGACACTTGCACTATTAACGTTACTATTATCTTATTTTTGCAGGTAGGATAGCTGCAATCTGTTTAGGTCTTCTTGCACTTGTCATCGGCATAGTGCTCAGTAGTATACCATGGGTTGATTACCTCATTTTAAGAGTAAGTATGAAACCGTTTGAATATACATATTTAGCGAAACGTTCGATATATTTGATAAATATGCAATATAATTATCACGAAATTTTAAAAAATGTGTTTGTTATTTTTATATATTATTGAATTAATATAAATAAAATTTGAAATATCTGAACATAAAATAATGTCATTTAAACTGCCAATTTCATAAATTAAATACATATATATATATATATATATATATATATATTATTGTATTATTCTAGATGGAAATAGTAAATGTAATAGTCAATTGCATATTTTAAAGCAGTAATATCTAATTAAAAGCAAATTCCGCAGAGGATCATATTTAATCCAATAATTGGATTTTACATTTAATTATAATGCCATTACATTGAATTATGATTGAATTATGATTAACATGATTAATCTTGTTGATGTGTTTAGGCGATAATTGTCGCGCAAGCGATACATCATCAATGAGTCATGTGTGATTGCTTTGACAGGTTCTTGCCTTTCGATTTTGTTTTACTTTCAAATCCTGCAAAGACACGAGAATATATGCTCGTATTTGGACAAAGTATGTCTGGCGCAATAAATATTCAATATTTTTTATGGCCCATACTTGTCGAGTAATTTTTATTCACAGTAAATAACTTTGCGAATCTCTTTTATTGTCTAAACTTAATGTACATAAAGTATACTGTGTGCAAATTAATTTATGATTGTCAATCATAAATTGAACGTATTATTATATGTGCAATTTTTATTAATAATGTTACTTGCACAACTTAAATTGCAAATCTGTCGATTATATATAAAAAATTATTCTTGTGAAATATTAATTTTGTTATATTATTGCAGTCTCAATCATATATTAAATTTTAAATATGTTATTATCGTAATTTATAATTGTTAGTAGAAAAGATGAAATTGTGATTTTTTTGTGACTTGTAAATCTTTAATTACTCACAATTAAATTAATTCTCGTAGAAGTAATTGGTTTCAAAGATTTTACTTACTAGAATTACAAATTTTTCCAACGTGAGTAGAAATTTATTTCCATTCTTGTACTTTCCCTGCTCGCATATTTCCTTCCTGCCGAGAAGAATAAAAACGAAAACAACATTTTTCTCCAAAAAGAATATAAGAGAGAATCTTGAAAGCATTTCGTAGTGTTTATAAAAATTCACTTTCATCTATATGAAATGAGATCCCATTAACTTTTGTTTTACTTCTATTTTAATTTCCCCGGAAATTATCTGAATCATTAATGTAAGATATATATTCAAAGTATGTGCAACAATCATGCACATACTAATCACGTAATGTTTTCCGAAAAAGTAAAAGTTGTCGCGCGTGATCTCTTTTTTACAATAAATTCAATACAATAAATGACACATTGCGGCGTTTGATCTATAAATTGGCCAATTTAAAAAATTAATAGAAACCTATCGTTATTTTTTTTATCTCAAGATTACTTCAATGATTAACGTCCGTTTCATATAAAAACCTCACGATAAATTATCCGAAATGAAACGCGATCGTGCACGTGCACAGATCGCAGTTTTAACTTGAGAGAAATCACGCACAACACACTGGTAATAATATCGGCAATTTATCGCGCTTTTCTAGCAATTGCGACTATGGAACGGCTCGCTCTCCTTTCAATATTGGCAAAAGCCAGGCGTAGCTCGATTAACCAAAGTCTACATATTTAATGTAACCAACACGGAGAACTTCCTGCAGTTTAACGAGAAGCCAAAGCTCCAGGAAATCGGTCCGTTCGTTTATCGGTAAGTGCGCTTGCACTCGCATTGTAAATTTGCACAATCCTGAAATTAGCATTAAACTATCTTTTTCTACGAACAATTGGCTATCTTTGTGCTTACTGTAGTTTCTTAATATTTTCCATCCCAAAGCGCTTGTAAGTATGCAAACCGTCTGAACGATGCTTCATTCGGGTTGCGTATTTATGGGCCAAGTATTGTTTCAAACGGCACAGCGATATCGCTTCGCAATCGGTATAATAAATGTGCATTTTTTACAGAGAGGATATGGAAAAAGTTAACATCGTATTTCACAACAACGGAACCGTTAGTTATCAACATAAGAAAATTCTGAACTTTGTACCTGAAATGTCTCTAGACAGAAACATCAAAGTGCTAGTGCCGAATATACCTTTGCTAGTGAGTTTATGACAAACTAATATTATTGTTGTATCTTCTTGATAATAATTCGAAGATATACACATGTAAAATATTTTTCTTTTCTTCATAGACACTTTCGACGCAAAGCAAGAGTCTTCCACATTTAATTCAAATGGGATTATCAATTTTCTTGAGCGGAATGCACATGAAACCCTTCGTTCCTGTAACGGCGCAGGAGCTCGTTTTTGGCTATGACGATCCACTAGTTAGTCTCGGATATCGATTTCTTCCGAAAACTAGACGGCCTATGAGCAGAATGGGCCTTCTTATCGGAGTAAGTGCTACACGATTATTATAATATATTATTATTAATTTTCCAATATTGTATATTTTCATTATTTATATTATATATTTTTCTAAAAAATAATTAAATAAATTTTTTACACGTGCAAGTCAATATATGTATACAGCTCGTAATTTATAATCAAAATTGTAGAGAAACGGTACATTGAGCGAGATATCCACAATATTCACCGGACATACGGATATGAAAGAGTTCGGTCTGATAAATCGATTGAACGGGCTTGATCATTTGCCATACTGGCCGACAGCACCCTGTAACTCCATTATCGCTTCGGAAGGTAAGTTTCTCGCGCATCTAAAGGATATAAAATAGTTTGTTAAAATTTCGATTGGTCCGATAATTCGAGTTTTCGTCTCAATAAAAAAAAATGTTGAATTGGGCATATTTTGTCACGAATAAATTTTAAATGCTCTCTTCGCACAGGGTCGTTCTTTCCACCACGAGATCAGACCGGCGCAAATATTGTTCATGTGTGGGATAAGGATCTCTGCAGAACATTACCGTTGCAATATCGCGGGCCGGTAGAAAAAACGGGTATCAAGGCGGATTTGTATACTCCGCCGGATCTAGTTTTCGGTCAACCGAACGAAACATTTGAGAACGAATGCTTTTGCTCCGATGGTATGGACACTTGTCCCCCTCAAGGCTTGCAAGACATCAGTCCGTGCCAGTATAGTGAGTATTGTGAAAAAGAAGGTTAAAGGCCAGTATTCATAATCTGATCTTATATTTAATAAGGTGCCGCGTAACCATTTGATTGGTTGAATGAGATCTTAAGTCAATTATTTATAAGAACCAGATTTATAAAGAAAGATAAAATATAAAATATTAAGAATATAAAATCGAACTATAAATACAGGCCAAAATGTTAAGGAGATTCTTGGATGCTCACAAGTATAACATATGTTATTTATGCAACTTGTATTTTCTTACTTCAGGTGCACCAGTTTATATCTCATTTCCACATTTTTACAAAGCGGATCCTACATTATTAAATGCCGTTGACGGACTCAAGCCAGTTGCAAAACTACACGAAACATATTTCAAAATTCAACCGGTAAACCAACAAGAAATAATTTTGTATTTGAATTTATTTATATCGACAACAATTTTTTATTAATTTATTTATCAAGCTTAAACTGATCGCGAGAATAAATAATTATAATAGAAACAGAATGTCTTAACTTTAATATCCAAGTTACTTAAAAATTTATGATTTCTAGAATCTGAAATAATATAAATTTTAAATATTTTTTCACAAATAATTTTTTTCTGCTCTTAGAAACTCGGTGTGCCCGTCGAAGCAAAAGTTCGCGTCCAGTTGAATCTAAAAGTAGAGCAACAGCGTAACATCGCGGTGGTCTCGAAGTTTTCCGACATAGTCTTTCCTATCATGTGGCTCGAGGAAGGTATAGAAGAGCTCACACCGCCCATCAGACGATGGATCTACCTTGCAACTACGTTCGCCGACATCGCTGTCCCTTGCATCACATACGGTATGATTCTAGTCGGACTCACGGTCATAATTACGGTGTTCGTGAAGGCATACAATAACAGTCCAGTGTTGGCGCACGATGCGATCGAGCTCGGTAAAAGGACTATCAGGAGGGGCTCGTCCTTACTGATAAACGGTCAGCATCGTTTGCTTGTTGGTCGAGATTCGTATGTCCTATTGAGTAATATCGACCTCGATGAAAAGCAGGACATGATAGAGATCTGATGGACATGCTGCTCTGTCCGTAAATTTTAATGTTAGCTAGAAATACTAATGTAAGTGTGCGTATTAATTATAGCGATTGTAACGTGAACAATAATTAATGACGCTTAGTTCTCGATTTCTCGCGAAATAATTTAATTGCAACATTAATTCAAATTTAATGAAAAGTGATGGCATGCTGAAAGAAATCGCGATAAGCAGAATTTAAGAATCTCACAGGAATTAAGATAACTAGAACCTAAAACGTTTAGAGGTTTAAGGCTCACCTATTGACTCAAAGTATGACTTAGAAAAATCTAAATAATCTACGAGTCAATTAATTATTGGATTTTAATTAACATATAATTTAAGGTATTTAGAGTTTGAAGAATATAGGAATCGCGAAGACTTGCATGAAGGACAAACAGATTCTTTTCATCGAGACTTTAATTGTCAACAAGATGCATATCTAATAAGAACTCTTACATGACTCTTTCATAAAACTTGCCGAAAGGCTACGAGTCTTTTAATTAATCTATCTGATTTTTTTATTATTTCACCAAATATAACCATAAACTGCACACATTAGTGTGTATTTCTAGACTGTAATTAAGATTTAAGAAACCTCGGCATTAATTCTTAGGATTAACTTAGGATTCTCGAAGCCACATATCATCTAAATTCTATTTAACAATCAAAGGCATTAAAAATTATAAATATTTTTTTCCAAGAATTGATTGCGTATGAATTATAATGTAGGTATATACAATATATTATATCAAATAAATGATAATTGATTTATTTTTTGTCGAAAAAAAATCGAAGAAAAAATAAATCTAGGCGTTATTGATTAATAATATCGTTGCAATGAAAAAATATTGGATAAGTACCTGCGATATGATATGTGGCGTAATATAAAATGCGTCCCCTTTGACTGTGTACACCAAAGTCTCGCTGTTGATCATCAAAACAACTAATTAACTAACTACAGAATATGCGGAGCCAAATTGGTTTGTGTCTTTTACACGGAGAAAGGCTTCCTTTTTTCTAATTTTTCGCGAATTTTTATTCGGACGAAATTCGCGGAAGAGTTTGATTTGTTTAAATGGAATCGAAATTCGCCAAAGAATCCTTCACGATCTTTCAGAATGCGTGAGAGTAAACCGATACGATCATTATAATATTCGTATATAATCATAATAAAACGTCATATATATATATAGTGTTTTCCTTATTAGTTATGGAAGAAAACTTTTGGGATTTAACGGACGCTTCTGGACATACTAATCAGGGATTACCTGATAACCCTTACGAGAGATCCCAAGATTATATTATTGATTATATTATTGTGTCTGTGATTCCGTTCTTATTTATATGTAATATGCAATTTTTGAATGGAGAGCAACGAGGAGAAGCTTCATTGGCAATTACGTGAATGGACGAAACTTTCACTTGTGTCGATCATGGCAAGTTTGCGCGTGACGATGCTTCTTCTCAACGTGTCCCACTCGTACTCGGCCATAATCTAGTGCAATATTAGTGATCGTATGTTAAGTATACCATTGCCAGCAATTGTGTGGCGAAACAATGTCGATTAGAAGTAAGGTTGCGCCCCGCAACAATTTTAGCGTTACACATATTGCTACGTAAAGCTAAATATCCGGCTAACGATTTGGAGCGCGGCTCCAGCTATAGAAGAACATCGAAAAGGACACAAATTTAGATTAATCATGATTACTGTTAATCGATATCGGTGCATTATAAGTTAAATACGGCTTGACGATTAATCAAATGAGTGATACATCGAGAATGTAATGCGATTATGCTACATCGGTATATCGGTTTTAAGTACTTTTAAATATATTCCGAGAGTGAAAAAAAAACATTGTAGAGGGTAAGCTTGTTCTAGCGCGAACGGAATTTTGTAACCGAAATTTAATAAAATACTTTTATCCAAATATCACTGTACATATTTGTCACACTCAACTGTCACTCATCTACTCTTTATCCGCTATATTTATAGATTTATGCTTTCTTCTGAAATTTATATATTAAAAATGGGACCAATTTCTATGTAATATATATTCAGAGTGCCTAGATACAGTCAGTGAATTATTGCTCTTATTAAAACCCTTCGTCGCTGTAACGAGAAATTGATGCGATATATGATGCAGAAGAAATCTAAACTAATTCTATTGTAAATATGGTTGAAGGCAAGCTCTTATTGATGATAAATCGAGCTGTCGATTATTGGAAATTTCCAGTTCCACGCGTATTGGTCCCAGCGACGAAAATCTATCAAAAGTATTTTATAAAAATATAATGGATTATAATGTTTCTTCGAAGTCTTCTCGATCACAGAACGGTGCACGTCTTTGACTAAAAAGTAAAAAAAATTATATTCGCAATGTATAACATTCTTATACAAAATTAAAATTATATGAAAGAAAATGTAATCTCCTCTATGAAATATATGATCTAATATAGGTACATTTATCAGCGTTATACCTTAGCTTTTGGATTCGCTGCGCTGCTCATTTTAGTTCCGTTCTCTACCTCCTGTCTCTTTCCTTTAAACAACTTTGCCATCTTAGCTAAAAGGCAATAATCGATTATGTAATACATCCGCGAATTTAAATATTCCATTTAAATGAATGTCTGACGTCTCTCGAATGTTAGAAATTCTATTTCGCAGAACGAATTCTAATCGATGCTTCTGATTGACCTACTCTTACTTTTTACGGAGAAATAAGGAAGAGACGAAAATAAAGCTTATTTCACCAACCTGTTCGCGGTGCTGGAGATTGCACCACATCAGCATCGTCCTGCGCGCCATCCGCCTCTACTTTCTCTGATTCTTCACCGTGTATATTCTCCTTGACCTTTTCTATCGAATTCTCAACAGCCTCCACAATCTTTTCAGTCATATTTTCTACCGATTCTAATTTTCCAAGGGACTTTGGGCTTGCGTCTTCAGGCTCATCACTCGTCTTTGTCTCTTTCTCGTCCTTGTTCTTTTCGTCCTCATCCTTTTCGTTCTCTTGTAAAGAATCGTTCTCCTTGCTCGTATTTTCGATACTTCCGGATTTTAGTCTTGGTGGTTTCGGTGGTGGTGTAGGATTCGTCGACGTTTCTTGCTCCGTTTTTTCTTGTATCCTCGAAGCTGCTGCTTCTGTGCGTGACTCTTCAGCATCTTGCGCATCTTCAGCATCTGTCGCTGCTGTACTTTCCACGTTTTCATTATTTTTCTGACTTTCATTATTTTCCTGAACATCTTTACTTTCATTATCTAGTTTATCTTCAGCATTTTCGTCATGTGCGCTTTCTTTATTCTTTGACTCATCTTCCTCGTCAGTTGGTTGTGATTTCTCGACTTTTTCTTTTGAATTTTCCGATGGACTAGTTTCGGAAGGACATTTCTTAGGACTTGCGATTTTTTCATCGTTTGCCGAAGACGAATTTTTTTCATTACTGACAATATCTGAATTTTCTTTTGACGAATCTTTTGAATTCGTTTCAATATCGTTATGTTTCGGTGTTTCATTGCTTTTCTCGACATGATGTGAATTATCTTTTTCAGGAATTGATTTTTCCGTACTGTCCACTCGATGTTCATTTTGCATATTTACAGGAAGCTTTAAAGGAGGTAGAGAACTTTTGTTCTGCATGGCTGACTCCTGAAATTAACGAATAGATCATAAACAAATTGTATTAGTTTAAAAAATAATATAATAAATTTAATTTAAAAGTTTAAATAGTAATTTGTTATAAATTTATGTATGATATAGTTGCACTTACAGTGGAATCCGATTGATGATCCATCTCGTGTCTTCGACCAACCAATATTGTATGACATCCTCCGCATGCAACCTTTAAAATAAGAAAACAATTCGAATCGGATAAAAATACGATACATATTTATTTAAGCAAAGCAAGCAAAGTTACATCTGTAATGAAGAGTTCCTGATATTTGGCAGCAAATGTGACTTCGTGAACATTATTTTCATTTTCCTCCAGACCTAATTTACCATGTCGCCCGTCACCACAAGTGAAGAGTTTGCCAAGTTCTGTTAGTAATAATTAACACGATTGTTAATAATATTATCTAAGGATTTAAAGGAATATGACTGTAGAATTTTAATTACCAGTAAGAATAGCACTGTGACTTTCACCGCAAGTAATCTTGACGATCTTTTCATTTCGAAGAGATCCGCGTGCAAGATGTTTTGGCAAGTGTATCTCGTTGACATTCGTGCCCATTCCAAGTTGTCCACTGGAGTTACTTCCAAAGCAGTAAATGTTGCCATTTTCTGACAATTTAAACAGTTAATCATTGGAGCAGATTTTTAACTGCATATTTTAGAGAGTTAAAGTAAAGAGATATGAAAGGTGTAAATTCTTTTATCTATTTAAAAATCTACGAATATGTGCCAAGTGTCAGAAAAATAGATATGGGTCAAAATCTACTGATCTCAACCTGCTAACACGAGCGTGTGATGACCGCCGCAGGCAATATGAAGTGCCGGTGTCGGCAACTGTATCTGCTTCGGTGCAACTTGCGTAGAAAAGTTGACATCGATCCCGAGTTTACCGCTTTCCGATTCGCCGCAGACATAAACGAGACCGCTTTCTGGAAATAAACTATGTGATGGTTGAATTGCACACACGCTAATATATTTTACAACTTCTCGTGTTCGTGCGAATCGTTCTAAGCGGGCCGCAGCGGAAACGATTTTATCTCGTGAAAAGTATGTCTAAAAATCCTTGCATAAATTCTTAGAACGGGATTTTAAGATTATTGGATCAACTTTGTCTTAAGAGGTGAGAGGTTTAATTTATATTATGCTAAAAGCGAGAAAGTATAAAAAAATATATGTATGCTGTTTCATGGAAAATATAAACATATTTTTATCTGCTTTAAGATGTGTATTTTAAAGCTATTATATAACTTATTATTTTACGTAGAAATAAAATCATTTATTACCGGTCAAAAAAGCTGAATGATAATATCCTGCGCTGATTTCTTTTACCGGTTCAGGAATAGGGACCTTTGTAGGTTTGTTAACAAGACCCGAAACTCCTGGTAATCCTAACTGTCCCTCCAGATTACTTCCCCAAGCGACAACTCCTCCGTCGCTAGTCAAAACCATTGAATGATGTGATCCTGCTGCAATTTGTACAATCCTAGGTCCGCCGAGTCCACAATCGTAAATCAAGATTGGAGAACTAGAGCTGTCGCCTATCGCGGAATTTTCCCGGCCTAGTTGACCTTCTTGATTACTGCCGCATGCAAAGACTTTCTGGGCTCCTGAAGACAAAAAACATTTCAAGTTAAAACATGTGTATGCGTTTCATGATTTAATTATCAGCTCAAATTTTGTTTCTGTTTTTTAGCAAACTATAAAATATTAAATTATTAAATTAACGAGAAATTATTAAGTTAAATTAATAAAATTAACTGTGAATACATTTTCACAAACTATTTGTCAGAAGCAGTTTCAGTCTGTTAACAAATTAGCATCTCCAATTTCTATCTGAAAAGTTAGCAAAGTGACGTGCCATTTAGGAATCCTTATTAAGTTGATTCCTTCAAACGAGAACAAGTTTGAAGTTGAATGACTCGGCAGATATTCATCGAAGTTCGTGACACGCAAAGGCACATATATATACATGTATATATATATATATATGAAAGCGGCATACTCACTTAATGTATCTCTCATCTATTAATGACAACTATACAGGGTGTCCGGTAATTAACGGACCAACAATTACAAATGGATTCTTTGGTCATTTTGGGAACAATTTTTCCTCAGCAAATATGTCAAAAAAGGTCATCATTTTTTACAACTTTCCAATATTTGTCATTATGTATCTTTATAACTAAGCCTCAAATAAAAATTTTATTATAGTAAACTCTACCTGAAATTAACTGAAAAATGTAATTATGTTAGACTTTTAACTCCAAAACGTTTAGTTTTCAAAAAACCCATTTTTTCAATCGCTTATAACTCAAAAATTATTGACTTTTCAACATTTTTGCTAAGGAAAAATCGTCTCCAAATTGGCCAGAGAATCCGTTCTTAATCATTGCTTTGTTAGTTACCGGACACTCTGTATACATACTTACATACGAAGAGTATTTCGTAGATATACCACATTACATTTATATTATTTCGGAGCTGATTACTTTGTCGAACTAATGTTTTTCTTTCTCATGTCTGTAAAACTCGATCGTTACGACGATATTGAAACGAATGACATAATCAATTTCGATATATGTAATCGAGAGAAAGCACGATTGAGATACTTCGCATAGATATTATTGGTCGTTGCTCACCTGTACATATTAACGTGTGCGCTCTTCCGCATGCGACGTGTGTAACTTTTTCTGGTTTCAGGACTATAACAAATGGGATTCTTATTAAAATCATAAGCAGTGCTTAATTAAATGAACAATTTGGCAAAAAATTATTCTCGACATTTAGTGAGCATAAATTTCCAATATCATTTATAAACAGAAAATGAGTTCAGAAGAAAGCGAGATATTTTAGAGATTTGTATTTGATGATTTATCAACGCAAAAAAGTAATATGGCGACATTTGAACGTAGTTCTATTTATATCAAAATTTGTTGCTACTTTACGATAAGGCAGTTACAAACTTTTTACACACGAAGGTTTGCTGATGTGATTCTTGTGACCCAGACCCAGTTGGCCCCAATCGTTACTGCCAAAGACGAACAGTCTGCCGGTTTCTGGAATAAAAAGTAAGCAAAGGCATTCCAAGCAAGCATGAAAGATATGTTCGGTAAATTAGAATTTCACAGAAACTATTCCTGGCGTTAAGATGATATTATTACTTATGTAATATGGAGAATTTAAGGAATCTGGGATCTAAAAGCATCTTAAGATATAAATTTACTAGCAATAAACTTACGTAAATTTGATTGCAATACTAAAAATAGCGATAAAAATAGCGATTAATCTTATGCAAGAGTAAAATTGATTCTGAAATCTTTAAAAAAACATCTCGAAAATTATGAAGAAACTGCATAAATATATTTATGGGATTTTAATATAAATAATATTTGAATTAATAAATAAAACGAGCAATATAAAATTTACATCTTGAATGGATTAAATATAAATTTTAATGAATAGTTGTAAAATGGGAATACTAATACGCAGTAATTATTGTCTATAATTATAAATATTTTATTAATGTAACATTTTTTGTTTGCAAAGTAATAATACAATACTTTTTTAAGACGCTTTAAGCTAATAACGCCAACAATGTCGGCGTAGACTGACCATTGCGTGTTCAATATCGATTTACTGGATAGTGGATATTCCTATGTGAGCATAGCTCCGACTATATATATATATATATATATATATATATATATATATACATATAATTATGTATATATATCTTTTACGTTGCATGCTACAGAAGCTGTAAATCACATGAACCATCATACACCTTCATTATAGTCTACAAATTTTATAACGTAGCAATCAAAATTCAAGAATTTAAAATGTCTTATCGGATAAAATCGGACTGGAATACAAAAATATTCGAGTAGGCATATAATGTTCAAAATGACATTTTACGACTGAATTTATAAAAGATAAGAAGAGAGATAGTTCTCTTTCTCTCAGACAAAATACTCTTGTTATTGTGAATTATAAGTTTTTTGTTTGTAAGCATTGTGTGTAGGTGCTCACGAATGTGTGACTTGCTGTCAACTTTACACTACACGACATTGATTAACGATATTCAACGTAACATGAACTACATATATATCGTTTTTTTTCTTTTTATATGTTGATGATTCTAGCTGGATAGATCTCGAAATTAAGTTTAAATTAATCTAAACCAATATTCTTGCTGTTATTCCAATGATTTAAGCTGAATTCAGGCTGAGATTCTAACTTGTGGTAATAATATATATATACTGTTAGTCTTGATAATTTAATTATAATAATAATTTAATTAAATTCAATTTGGATTTAATTTTGATTTAATTTAGACTTATTGTGCAACGAAAAAATTTTTAAACTGAATCAATAAAGATGTCACTGATTAAAGCAGTAATACAATTTTACGAAGCTCGATGAATTTCACTGATTTTCAGTGAAACACTCGCACTTTACTCCTCCGTCTTATGTTTCACTGATTGGCAGTGAGATTTTGTGTAACTAATAACTAATATGCACATATTACATGTTTTCATTTTTAAGATGTGATAATAAGCCTAGAAAAAATAAAACAAGATTCTTCAAATTCAAATATTTCTTTAACAAAATATATTGCTACGAATTTATCTATTATATAATATTATAATATAAAAAGCATTTTAAAATATCACTGATTAAAACAATCACTACAATGATTTTTTCTAATAAGATTTCATTGTTTGCAGTGCTATATTTATAACTAAAACCACTGTTTATATTCGATAATACACTAATTCTATTTAAAAGAATACCTTTAATAGAATTGCTCGGGTTCCATCCTGGATTTAAAAAGACAATAGCTATTCTTGTAGTTTAAAATATTCTAAATTATTTTATTTAAAAAAATGCGTAAAACTTACGACAAATAACGGCAGAATGTTCATCTCCGCACTCAATGGCGACGACCGGATCCTTACGTATAAAGAAGTGTGACGCAACATTGTCCGCAAATCTGCTACGACCGATCGTGAAGACTGCTCCGGTCTCTACAATGTACAAAGATCGATACAATCGTTAAATATTGAAGGCAAAATGAGAATCGAGGTTTTCTATCTTTGAACGAATTTCTTCGATTGACAGATCTTGCAATCAGAAAACTGCGCTTCGAGAAACAATCGGATTATAACGCGGATTTCGTTTTATTTGAGATCTCTTACTTACAAAACTTTATATGTAACTTGAATTATCTTTTGCTTACAAAACTTTATAACTTAAAATTATGCAGTATCTTCGCGAATTGTGTTTTACATATATAGCAGTGAATCCGTGTTGCGATGTTATATTTGGATCATGCAAGATTGAAATCGTTGCATATTATTCTGATACTAAAGCTATAAATATACATGCATATTACACAAGGATACATCATCTATATTGCACGTGGAACCACTTGTAGCGATCTTATATCTAAAGCAAAAGTATACATAATAATTTTAAATGCAACATGTATAGCAATGGAAGTATAATTATATATGTAGAGTTTTCTAAAATTTTCCACGCCTTTGCAGTTGTCTGTATTTTATCATTATTTCTAGAAAAATGTTCATTTTATCATTGTTTCTAGAATTGTTATAGAAAATAAGTATTGTTGTTCAATTATATAAAAGTGAATATATCGAAATGATTTCTCAGAGAAATTCAACTTAATTGTCGGCATCTCTTATAGATTTTTCTATTTCTAAGTATTGTGAGTAGTGCATTATGGATATAGTCTGAGGGCAAATTTTATCGCGTTGCATAACTTTAGCATAAATTAAGTTGAAAGCCAGTAAAAAGGACCGGAAAAGCGTTAAGACACCAAATGCCGTCTCAACACGAGATTAACAGCGGCATTTTGGTCTCTCTTCGCGCAAAGGTCAATAACGCAAAACTGGTGATAAATCCTTCGAGATTTACGCTTGCGTCTTTCTTATCAAAAGTTCAAACAGCGGCCTTTTGCATAATTCATTACGCATCTGTCCTTCATCAGAAAACAACGCAAGCTATCTCAGCGCAAATTATTTCATTAAAGGCTGTTTATGTGAAATAATATTATGCAAAAAAATTGTAATATTTACGTCTTCAAATTTTCAAATCTTTAAAAATTTTTCTTAGATTTTTAATAGTTTTTTTATTGTTAAATCCTCAAGTCTTCTCAACTCCTCAGATGATACATTCTCGAATTTGAGGATTTTTAGTTCTTAGATGTACTTAACTTTGAATTTTGAGATTCTAAATTTATTTTATACTTCTAGATTATTTATCTTAAATTACTCTTCTAGATTTTTTAGTTTATAAGTCTCTCTTAAATTATTATTTTTATTATTCATAACTTTGGAATTTGTAAGAGAAATTATAGAATACTGAGAAAATGAAAGCAAATATATTCTGCTTTGTGGAAGATTGATAGTATCTAGAAGTTTGCATATTTTCTAGGGTTGTTGACCTATAGGTCGATTAATAGCTCTACCAAATTGCTCTGCAAAATATATGTATTTGATAGTCGATAGCGATTGTTCATGCGCGAACAAATAATAATCAAATCACATGTAAAACATTTAAAGAAATAAGAATAAAATATTCTCAAAATTAGAAGTATAATTAAAGTAGAGAAGAACTGTATTTAAAAAATGGAAAAATTAATTTATAAGCAATGTACGTGTATAAATATGCTTATAACCAATATCGTTGAAGAGATCTGGAAAGGAAATTATGCTTCTCATTTTATATTAAAATCGACGTTTTTTAATTAGTTCTTGTTGCGTATTACATCTACTCGTGTTTACGATGCATTGGTATAAATATATGAGCTTATTAAACGAATCAAATGGCACTTGGAGAACACTTTTTGCCTCAACTTGCAACGTGTAATAACGCCAGTAAGTTAATGATACAAATGCACATACATGACTTGCATGTACGACCACGACTATGGTAGCATTTAGCCGATTAATGGTCGGATTGTGCTGGTAGCAGCACTCCTAAACGTTTTACAAAAATATATATATGTATAATTATAAGAATGCGCAGAATGCAATAAAATATTGTAGCCACAAATATATATTTACTTTAAACTCTTGCAATTTAATTTCAATGAATCTACCATATTTGTTATCGAGTGACTGTAAAAATTTTTCTTGCATTGTATACGCCGTGCATACGTGCTCGTGATCATTTGATAACAGCGACAGGTATCGATTCTCGTTACTTCACGCTGACAACCGGCACAGGGCGAAGCCAGGGGCTCGTGCGGGGGTTTTAATAATGTCGGGGAGCTGTGCCCGTGCGTCGGTTTCAGGGATCGATCGCGGTCAGTATTATTATTTTATTATACATGATCTATTATAGAATAATTTGTGGATTTGCGTGGTGCAATTTATGCGTGCAATATATTCTCTCAGGTGCGTGCATTACACACAATTACTCGTGTTTTCTTTCTATTTTACCGGGTATAGTCTCTATGTCTGGTAGGCCCATGCTTGTGCACCTTGCGCCGCGCAACTTGTAGCCGACTGACCGCCAGGTAAGCGGGCATGCTTGCTGGCGCTTTCGAGAGGGCGACCACCATGTATCCTAGCAACTGGAAATCAATTTCTAATGGCACAACCGCGCCGCTGTTTTCTTTGTAATAAAGAATGGGAGCGAACGACGCGGTTCTCCAACATTGTCGAAAATGATCGACTTCGCCCACTTTCTAATTCTCTTGCATTTTTATTACAATTAAAATGTAAAATCTAATTCTTAAATATATGCATATATAAGAAATATATATATAAGTAATTATAGAAAAATAAATATATTATAGTGTAATGTAAATAAAAAACTTTAATGCAATATTATGAAATATTATATTGTATAAAATGATAAAATATTTAGATATAAATAAATTAATATAAATATAATTTAATATAAAAAATTAATATTAATATAATTTAATATAAAAATACTTTTAAATTATTTACGACAGAAAAAAATGTATTTGTTAATAAATAAGGCTCGGAAGAGTTCAGTTTAACAAAATATTTATATGTGCGCACATAAATCCATACAAAAATTAATTGTGGCCATTTTGACATTTAATTTCAAAAATTACAAGCATAGCGGTATGTCTTGAGACCTCTTAGGATAGAAAAAAAATTATTCATCCAGAAACAAAATCCGGAAATATCTTTTTATCAGGATATTTCTGCATAGTCATCAATCGCGTCTATTAAAGCAAATAAATCACGCGAAATATTTTCTTGGACAAACAATTGTCATAGCAATATATTTAATCGTTTAATCGAATTTAATAAGTATACTCACTAGTCATTTGTACACCATGATCGCGTTTGACATGGTATATTTTTCACGATTGCGTTTCTTAAAACTAACTAATCCGCACCGTTAATCTTGGTCGAACGACAAAAGAATGCATAAACAACAATATCTCGCACTTGACAAATACCCGACATGCTTCGCAATCGAAAAATTATTACAATAAGATTTCATTTATGACATGACTTATGAAATTAAATGCGGTCGATTCAGAATCGATATATCTCGACGCGACATCTCGATATATCGAGATACTCCGAAATGACGCGCTGACGTCAGACTTTTCAATATGGCGGAAGTGTATAACGCGCGAAAAGTACGTGCAGGATATTCGGTATTTTCTTCGGTAAACAGCAGTCGCCGCGAAATGTTCAATCGCTTAATCGAATTTTGTGATTGCGCGGATTAATATTCAATAATCGCTTGTATACTGTAATTGCGTTTTGACGTGATACGTGAAGATATTTTTCGCGATCGTGTCTCGTGTCTCGAAAACTAAGGTCCGTTCTACATTGGTCCATCAGCTGCATTCCAACATTCCAACTCCGAGTGTGACTCAGATACGACGTATTGACGTATGCACACCTAACCTGTGTGATTTCGTTTGCTGTAGTTTGATATGCATAACTGCGAAAGAATGTAATTCTTGTCGCTATTATTGTTAAATTCACGAATTATTCGTTATTAATTAGCTCAAATCTTGCGGAATTTACAGTTGTATAAATATCGGTAAGTATTGTATTACTCTACTGTCAGTTTCTAACCTTACTTCACTAAGTTTCTATATAATATCTTCTGTTCGATGTTTTAATTACTTTAAATCATGTTTTTATTTTTAATTTGATGTATTAAAAATTAACAAACTGTTTCATGTAAAATATATTACATTATCTGCATCTCATAAATACTCGCACAACATTCTGCATCCTTTTCGCTTGTATTATATTTTTTCTATTTATATATATATATATATATAAGTCAATAATTAGTTAAGTAATGTTGCTTAAATTATCATGAGTCGTTAGGCACAGGTGTTTATATAGACATTTATTTAGATTTTTATAAAATAAGTAAGAATTTACTTTTTATCAATACTAATTATTATTTTCCTATTGCAGATTTATTGTTTGAAAGCTGACTTAATGAACTGTTGAAGATGGCTGATACACAGTCAGTCACTGCAAACACGGAAGAGTCAGAGAAACAAGATGAGCCTATGAAGAATTATAAGTTTGATGGAAAAACTTATATCTATACTGATCAAGCAACAAATATTACTTACAGATTTGATCAAGAAAAAAATAAATGGATAGTAAAGGAAGATGATAAAGAGAGCTCTTGTAACAAGCAAAGCTCTGATAGAAAGGAAGAGGAAGAAATTTCTATTCCTAAAGCTAGTGCTGATACTGGTGCTTTTGGCTTTGAGAATGATACGCATACTTATACGGATCCAACTGACGGCAGTGCATATTTCTGGGACAAGGAGAAAAATGCCTGGTTTCCAAAAGTTGATCAGGATTTCATGGCTAAGTATCAAATGAGTTATGGCTTTACAGATATTAGTGCACCACAGCCAAACCCATCTGAGCCAAACCAATCTCAGAAAGCCAAAGAAGAAAAGGAACAGAGGAGAATAGAAGCAAAGCGAAAAGCTCAGGAAGCACCGACTTGGTTTGAGGTCGATGAGGCGCATAACACCGCTATTTACGTTTCCGGCCTACCTCTGGATATTACTATGAAGGAGCTCACGGAACTCTTCACCAAATGTGGCCTCATAGCTAGGGATGAAAAAGGGAAGGACAAAATCAAGCTATACAGGGATGGCAATGGTGAACCAAAGGGAGATGCTCTTTGTACTTATATCAAGGTAGGAATATATATATATATATATGATCCATCTTTGGCTTTTATCTTAATTTTACTAACAATATCGATTGCACTATAAAAAATTCGTGTATCAATATTTTATTTATAGATTGTTAGATACACAAGAGCTATGCATTGATAATCTTATGTTGATATATTTACAGACTAAGCAGAAAAAAATAACAAACACAAAGGAGAATCAAAATATGAAAACATTTACTCTTTGATTCACTATCTGACTGCATAATTCACTTATAAAAACCGATGCTTATAGTATAAATCGATATTGTAAGATAATTATGGGATGATAATTGTAGTAGATTATTTAATGCGCAATCTGGCGAATAGCAGCGCCAAGAGTTGTCAGCTTTAAATTTTTAATCAATATATGAACTATTGACGTGAACTATTTATTTATATTAATTAATTGCACAAGATGTCGTTTGGCAAAATAATCGCGGGATAGAGAAAAGTGTAGAATATAGAGAGACAATACATAATTTTTTTGCTGTTATGATAGATAAATATAAGAAATATTTAGACGAATGGGTGTCTTTAATAATATCGAATGCAATTGATAATGAGCTACCTGCATAAATATCATGTGATTCGTTATTTATTATTATTTATCATATTTATATTATATGATTGACTTATTAATTAATCAGTATTTTTTTTTAATTCTCACGAATATTCAAGAATGAATATTAAGAAATCTTCCGAGATTAATTTTGATTACAATAGTTATTCGCAGGTCTGCAAAATCTATTTTTACAATTGCAGCTATACTTTTATATATATATATATATATATATATATATATATATATATATATATGTATATATTATAGTGATTGTGTCGATATATCGGCAGTTTGATAGCAAAAATTTCATCTTGCAAATATTTCTTTTTTTAATTGCGTACGTTATATAGAGCAGTAATAAAATCAAGGTTGCAATTATAACTAGTTATCAATGATTTACGTTTCTGCTTTATGGCTTTAACAAAATCTCCTCCCGCGCAAAATCGTTTATTTTACTGTGAAATTGCGAAAGAATTGCGTTGTCCATGTCCAAATTTTGTGACTGATGGCTATTGAATTTGGTGCCCAGAAAAGCACCGTATTCTCGTCCTTGAGGCAACACTTGGGCAACTCTTGGTACAGCTGGATGCAAACGGGTTCTATTCGAACGATGTCGTGTGCGTTCTCTAGGTTGCGTGACACTACAATCAAAAGCAATTTAGGAAATGATCATTAATTGTAGAAGATTTGGATTACTAACAATTTAGATGTTTAAAAATGTCTCTTCTTTAAATTTTTACATCTCACATATATTCAGCATAAAATCGAATAATCATACTTGAAAGGTGGTCGCGATCCCAGTTTGACACCATGAGCCCATTGCTCGCTCTCTCTTTGTTCCGTCAAATTTCTTCTCCGGTTTGCTCGAGTTTTATTTCTTCCTTCTAGCTTCCTTTGTTCCTCTAAGTACTTTTTACCCTTCTTTTTAGGCTTTAATCTTTGGTTTTGCGGCGCGAAAGGATCCGACTTCTTGCGTCTTCTTACTACAACAAGGCAAAAATATCATACGTAAAAGCAATTGTAAACTGTATCACAATCGATTTGAGTACGATAGCTGAATGTTTTTTTTTTATCGAATGTGTTTTTCGTATTTTCAATGCATTTCTTACCTAAACGACCGGCGGGTACTTCGCATATATAATGCTTCCGGTCGACGCAGCTTCTCGCGCTCCACTTGTATTTCAATACAGGATCCATTATGATACAATGCCAGGCGTACTTCTCAGATTTCCCCGGTTCCATTTTCCCGAAACTCTGGAAAACCATCTTCTCACCTGTCACACCCCATTCCCAGGCCATCTGTTGCCAGTTGAAAATTCCGCCGATCCACCGCTCCAATTTCGCTGTCGAGTTTTGTCGGATTTAGGTGGAGTTGCGCGGCGTTATAGTCTCGTCAGAGACGAGACGAGAATAGCTTATACTCACTGAACTGATCCCCCATCAAGTACTTTCTCAACATCCTGTCCTTTCCGTTTCTGTCCAATATAGCCAGGGTAGCATTTCTGTCCTTGCAATGAAAGTACGCGTCCCTCCATGGCGCCATGCCGGCGCTCAAGTAATAACAGAATCGTTTCAATCGAAAGAATCCTACAGGACACGCGAATCGTTTCACGGGTTCGTGCTGTCGCACCGTTCTGGATTGATTAGTCGTCAAGGAATTAACGCCGAAATTCGACAAGTCCGAAACGGCCGACGATAAGCCTGGAAAAAAAAATCAGATACGTTAATCTTGTCGCACGATAGGAACTTTGATAAATTTCTGAATATTCTATACATGTATGAAATCGAGAATAGAGGAATGGAAAATTTAGATTATTCTGATATTTTTCGCTCATTAAACTCGTTTCTTTCAGCCTCAATAATTTCCAATAGTCGGGCGTTTCGACGGAAATTTCTCGTTCTAATATATATATAAATCGCGCGATATTTTAAAATCCATAATTTTCTCTTACTCATATAATTTATGCGCATATCTAAGGTGCGTTTCGTTCCGAGTGAATACATGTTTGTTCCGTGGCCTTGAGCGGAATTTAAGCATTATGTAATGCTGTCTGCGGTTCATGCGTGACTAGGCGCCACATCATTGCATAGCTAAGATAATATCGAGCATTGAATTATCGAATACTGTCTCATAAATAGATTCTTTCCTGTTTCTCGCATGATAGCAAATTTGCAACATTTGCAGGCTTATCGTTGTGACACAAATAGCTTATTTTGATGGAACGTCTGTTTGTCATCATGCTCTAATTTATTTAAAAGCAAGCATATATTAAATCATAACTTTATCTCCATACTCATATATTCCCCTCAAATATGCATTTATATAATCCTATAAAATTTATTTATCTGAATATGAGAAAAAATACAAGTGAAAGAAATGCATTATCAAGGGGGGAGAAAAAAATTTATTCATTATAATTTTACATAATCTGCCTACGCGCGGAGAATTAGGCAATTCTATTGATTGAAATTTTTTAGGGCGTGACAGCTTCTTCGGGTGGAACCGGTAAAGATAAAGCAATTTTTTACGACAGCGATACACGATATTGTATTATCGCGCATACAATAGGAATACATAATTTAACTGCTAGTTTAAGGCGCTAGTTAATGGGAATCTCAAAATGTAAATGGTTCGACACATTTTGAATATTGTGTAATGCTTGAGGATATCGAAAAAATAAGCGACTGTGTAAATTGAGTGAAAAATCATAGAAAAATTTGCCTGACACGTGTCGACATTAATTACAAATTAATATAGCTATTACGAAAGTATATCGGCAGCAAGATCACATTGCCAATGATTGCCATACACATTCAATTAATTACTCACAAAGTCATTCTCTGAGTCACATTGTCGCGTAGATGAATCTCGTGATACACACACCGCCATAAATTTCATTTATGATACACAACTAGCATCGTATGACTATTAATATATACTAGAGATTTAATTTTTATACGGGCAGGCCCGCAGGCCTCTAATATAAAAAATATACTCTTCGCACGACAATTAGGTACACGCGCGATAGAACCTATTATTATTTTTATTGCATTTTATCATAGCAAGTATTCAATTTACATAGCATTTACAGCGAACAAGTTGAAAAAGACTTAATATGAAATTAGACAATTCTAATAAACCGTAAATAACGTAACCGTCTTAATATTATGATGTCAGTTTTGACCTCGATGATAAATGACATGAGATTTATAAATTCGAAAACAAGTTTAGTTTGATTTTTTTATTATTAATAATATGTAATTATAAGAAGCGTAAAAAGAAATAATTACATATAAGATAATATAGAAAACCAGTAAACTAAAATTGCATTTTAATCGAGCTCAAATATGTGGTGTGTTATATTATTTTAAATTATCATGTTACATTTTATGTGCATTTTATGTGATTCTATTTAACTTTAATAGAATCATTATTCAAATTGCTAATAGGAAGAAGCAACACGTTTTATGCTAAATATAGTTTAGATTTGCATTACGTAGCAGTCTTTAAATGGACATTTAATTACTATTCGCGGAATCTTGTTTTTAAGCTGTACAAGTATGATATTTACATAATAGAGATGGCATATTAAAATGGGTCAAATTTAAATGGATTAAATCAATTTAATCGGTCAGTTAGTACACGGTCGGAACACATGTTAAAGTGTAGTGATTGTAGTCAGAGTCTGTTCGGACATTTAAATGTACATGACAAAATTTCTGACATTACAAGAACTAGTTTCTACGAATAATAAAAACTGTGGCTGCCGATCACCATTCCACGCCTCTTAATTACAGTCGATCGATTTTAATTAGTCATCAGCTGACGATGAGAGTAGTACTTGTGGATATATATCAATTTGAAATAATTGTAACACTGAGCGTAAAACAAACTTTAATCGTAGAAATAAAATTAATTAAATAATTGAAAAATGTTCTTGTTAAAAAAATAAATTATTCGCGAAATACACTGTTACGAAATTTATAAAATGTTCTTGTCGGAGTTTTTTTTACATTCCGTTGCTTTTAACTACACACGAATTTGTAAACTAATGTTAAAGTTTGTTACAGCTTTGGATACCGCGATATACAACTTGCTTTAAAATGCGAGACATAACAAACGAGATGGCCAGCGCGTACATTGCATATTTCATTTTGACTTGAAATTCTTAGGTTCCGAGAGGCCGTATCTAAATCTTTAAATGTGGAAATTCAGCCAGTTTCCTAGTTTTCAAATATGCAAAAATTACTTTATAGGAATATTGATAATAAAAAGAATCAGATTTCCTGTTCTACAATATTTCGCGTATTTAAAAATTCAAAAATCGCTGATTCATAGAGCTTTATTTTTTTAGAAATATGACATTTATGAGTATTAAACGGCGAACAATATATTTTTGCTTGTCAAGTTCGCACGCACGTATCTTCTTTGTGTAATCATTTAATCGTATGCGTCTTTTTATCACAGGTGTACAAACTGTTGCCTGTTACTAAAATAACTTTTTACACTAGCGGCAGAAAATATCGTGTAGCGACTGCTTATTCACGTAATTATTCAGTCATGCGAAAAGTCACGCCAAATTTTATTTTTTCCATTTCTAGAAACATAAGTAAGCAGTTACAGATAATTATTAGCGTGAAATTCCCAAGCGTTCATTATTTTTATTTAGAAGGTGTAAAAAAATATAAAAAAATATATAGATATATTTCTTTGCTTATTTTCATGATATGGAAATATTCGTAAATCTAGAAATTGTGCCAATCCTGCAAAACATAATCAACGATCAGCGTAAAAAAATATTTTTAACGTCCGCTGAACTTAATTAAAACTTCATTAAAGTCGCTGGCAATTAAAATCGAAATGATGACGTTAATAAGTTTACAGCACTAATTATCGATAGTGTCGTTTGATCATATTACCCTTCAAGGAAAAGTCATTCGATATTTTCAAGCTCGTCTAATCGATTGATATCGATAGACATGACAGGGAGTTATATATCTATGGTATGTCTACCCACAACTTGCACTTTCATTCATGTAACATTTATGGGACAAGGCTAACCCGATGACTTGGATAAACATTCTTCTCATATTTCCAGAATTTATTTCCACTTTCACGAATAAGTTCATATTATTAGTAATTGATCAATTAACGTGTAGTTCATATATATCATTATCGAAAGAAAATTAATTTATTTAGGTCAATGTTTTGTTTTTTTTGACGTAATGACTGTAATCGCACGATTATAATTAGCAGTCATTAGGCTACTTTTTTTTATTAATGAAAGAAAATTTTATGAAATAGTATTGAGAAATTTTGTGTACATACGACAGACATATTGTTGACTTTAATTCTAAGTTTTTTTTTTAGTCGCAAGCAAGTTTATGATTGTCGCGATTGATCAAAGCTATTCTCGAAGCAGATTTGATGGTATCGTTTTGTCAGTATCATTTCCGCCTAGATCCGATCTCGCGAAAATAGATTGCGGCGCGATTGCTCAGAAACGCATCTGTCTATTTATGACGACATACGCTTCGATCGTTTGTTAATTTATTTGCGGTTTCCATTAGAAAATGCTTGGTAAAATATGCGCGTCCCGAAACTGTCTGCGCAACGCAGCCGTTCCACTTGTGGACTGGTTAATCTTATATGCAGAAATTTTACGTGTGTCCGATATAAAGTATGCGTCTCGCAACATGCATCCCTTTTATGGTTTTCTTCGAGATTTTTCTTAAATTTTATTAAGGCATTAAAAAAAATTGTCTTGGCAAAAACAAACTATTTAAATTAAAGAAAGATAAAATATGTGAACAGAATTAATAATTAGGACAATTTCTTTTAGAGAGAAAAAAAGTTATGCAATTTTTTTCAATATATATTGATCAAGATATTATCGATATAATTTTATACAACAGATATGCCGCATAAATCATAAATTATATCTTCTATCATTGTTTAATATACAAGAACTTGATAGATATTGATAAATTGTGGTTAATTACGGTACTGTTACGCAATTTAAAAAATCATGTAGATAATCATGTAGATAATTATATGTTGCATTATCGTAACTCTCAGAGTTATTAGGTTGTTATTAGTTGCCAATTAGCAAAGTGCGTAACTGCTAATAGGTACAAGCAACTCAGCTGTGTCTTGGCAGCTGAAAGATATCTTTTCATGATTATACCCTTTTATATCAGGTGTATTATTTGAACTATCATCAAGATTTTAGCGGCATTTTACTTTTAAGTGTACAAAGATTGAAGTTTGAGTTTCTAATGAATTTATGTTACTCAATAAATCAATAACGCGTGCGCAAACAAGTTGCAGAATTTGAATTCTATCAAATTATAATACATGTATAATTAATTTATCTTTCTTTAATTAATTCCCTTTGCTCTAATAAAGCGATTTTAATTGACATTGTTAAATTTTCGCGGTCAATAGAACTTATTGCACTTCAATAAATATACTGCAGCATTATATCACACACACAACTGCAGAGTTAAATATTAATTAATTAATTATAATACTGAATTACATATTATTACATATTAATAATACTGAATTACATATTATTTTACTAAAGAAAATATAAATTATAGAAAGAGACATCAAAAATTCTTTTTCACACTAAATAAATTATCGTTTATACCCTAATATTTCGTTGTTTCAATACAATTTTTATTTCAAACTAATATATCAATCATATAAAAAAATTGCCATTTTGTTTGCGTTATTTTATGCAATACGTATTATTTCACAAATTTTTAATTAAAACTGTTCGCGTCTTAGAAACTAATAATCATTTCTTTTCATTACTTCTCCCTTTAAATTAATCGCTTCTTAGAATCTCGCCGTGTTTATCCACTTAATTCGTGCTTCCGCACATTATTATCTCGCCGTTAACACCTCGAGCTCTCATCCCTCTCAGAATTCCCCGCGACCTGCTTAAATCCATATCGCGCACTTGAATCGCGATTAATTACCTGCGAAGCACAGAAGCAACAGGACCCGACACTTCCACATGTTTACACAGCACAGGTCGTTTACTCGTCGAATTATTCGATACAAAGGTCGCGATACGCTCGCAGAATCGTCCTCATTCTCGTTCCTTGAACCTCGTCTCGCTTCTTAATTCACGCGTCGTCATAATCGCACCGCTTCGCGAATTCGCGCGACGAAGAGAGAGAAAAAAAAAATAAATTGGCCGCCTCGCTTTTACAACCCTCGCCCGTATTTTCGGCCAGAGATCGCTGGTACTCTATCGCGATCGATAGGGTGGCTCTTGGACCGCACCGATCGTTCGGGGACCGTTCTTCGACGGTGGTTCGTAGCCGACTGAAGCCGCCGCTTCCATTCCGCTCGGCGCGTACCTTCGCGCGCTCCGCGAGCTTACGAGAGGAATTCTCTCTCGCGCTTCTCCTAACGCCAGATGCTACCGCGATCATTTTCTGAATCCGAGGAGCCGTAGATCCGTCGTGGAGAATCTGTCTAGCTTACTCCGATTTCTATTCGAATCAACACAAATGCGCTTCACGCAGTTATATATACACGCATTCATATTATGATATATTATGCGGATTATATGACAAATACGCTTTCGCGATTTCTGCGTATTTTACGAAGAACTCCCGTATATAATGGTCCCGCGAAGAAATTTTTCATAGGAAATGCCGGAGAACGATTCAAATGTACAATATTTATTTTCGTTTTTCATACTGTGAGAAAAGCTTCCTGTCTCTTTCTCTTATATTAATATTTTGTAAAATTGTTACGATTAGAGCAGTGTAATTTTTAAATCTGCAGCGTTTCTTTATTCTGGCGTTTACCTTGATTTTTAAGACGATTTTGAAATGGTTTATCACGGCACGTGGTATTTGCAAACGCGTACATAAATTTAATGATTTCTATTCACGTTTTGCATAACGCCACCAATCGTCTTAGGATATCAAGGATATTATAAACTTAGTAAGCATAGAACGTGTGATAATTGCGCGGCAACGATATAAGAATTGAACAAACTCTACGTAGCTACGTCGACAGCTCGCGAAATGTTTGAGAAACGCGTCAACAAAGCTCAAGTATCTATATACTATGTACTTAATATTGCATTATAATCATAAAATAGAGTTAAAATGTCTCGGCATCGAAAATTGCATCAGAATGTGTACAGAGAGAAGGGACCATTCAGCATCGAGAAAATTTAAGTCGGAATTTTGTCAGAATATCGAAATCGGAGAAGAGTAAAAAGATACTTTTTCTTTTTAACGAAATAACGTAGAATATATAAATATAAAAATGAAAACAAGTGAGAACTAATAAATATGTAAAAGCAGACGCTTGTTATTTACGATGGTCATAACTTTGAATGATTAGAGAATAAATCAAGTTATAGAAGAATAATTTATGGAAGAATAATTTATTCGTTGATAATATTTATCCACTCTCGACCTATCGATTTTCAATGTTTGCATTTAATCATTGAATAATGTTGTAGATGAATGTTTATATATATTACTTGAAATGTGTAATTTTTGCTTTCTAATTAATTGACGATGCAAGAACGTGATTATGCTTCCTGTTGAAAAATTCGATGTTTTTATAACATAGTTAACAATATGTTTATACATAGATAGTATATATAAAAGTGCGACGACCTCAAATCGAGCCTACTTTTAAAATATCATCTGTGCTAGCAGACCAGCATTTCCGTTTAATGGCAAGCTGCCAATTGGGTGCATTAACGTCTATCTGTCCGATAGTATCTTTTAGGGAGTTAACGTCTAAATTGAATTGATTAAAATGTAGTAGCAGAGATAACAAGAAATATTAGCGCGCAAATAAGTTTGAGATATCGTGGGACTAAAGAAGGCCGTAATTTGCTACCGTTGAGAATCGGATTTCGCAAATCTTACGTTTAATAATTTCTACTTATCACTCGCAGAAACGTGACGATAATAAGAGGGAAAAAGTGTGTCAACGACTGCTACCAAAAGAAAGATCGAGGAATAAAGAGAGAGAAAATACAATGCACGTGCGCGCGTAAAAAAATATATGAAATGCATTCTGAAATTTCGACTATTGTATTGTAAAAGAATAGACGTCTATTAGAAATGTCATCTCTGTGACATTTTATATAATATCTTTGAAAAAACACACTGATTACTCATTAATGATAATTATGCATTCTGTACGTGTGGTACATACTTGCTATCATAGTTGCATAATTTAAATATATCTACGTTTCTCTGCTTGTACCATAGATAACTATTTTTATATACACGTCTATCTACGCATAATATTGTGCACGCGAATGTATAAATAGCGACGTTGCATTCTTGTAATTTACACGACGATGAAAATCTCGCATTCATGAATGATCTATATAACATTTAAATATTAGCCGTTCAAACAACCTATGATATTTAAATACTGTGCGTTTGACGTTGGAATGTTTTATACGCTTGAAACATCACACACAAAAAGGGAGACGGAAAAGCGCGAATTTTATTTGATTTTTTATTACCTAAATACGGGCTCTGCGTTTGAGTGACAGGGTGGCCGAACGTGGTTACGTTCAAACTACTATGACGGCGATTCATTTGCGCATTCCTGATGCTTTGAAAGGTACACTGGGAATGCTGCAATTCGCGGAATTGCAATTTGGGATGGGTTGACGACTGCGTGCCTGAAATCACAACGGAGCGATTGACAGATTCAAGTAATTCTAGATATTGCGTCAGGCATTATGGAGATGTAGTTGCAATGGTCATGTTTATGGCTCGAGAATCGTCATCACCATACGATTACGTCAGTATGACACCGAGTCAATCATTTATAAGTGTTGGCTTACGTTTTCACATGGGCTTGTATAGTCTTATTAGTACGTAGAATGAACATTTTTTGAGCTTCCGGGCTCTTGAATTAATCTCACTTCATATGTAAGTTCGTCAAATATAATGGTGGAACAAATATTTAAAAAAGAATAAGTATATTTTATTGTCTTACAAATTGAACTTTAATATTTGAAGAAATATTACACACATCTGAAATATTTAATTTAATTAATTAAAATTAAAAGGCATGCATTTGTGTTTCAAGACATGCATTAAATCTCCAGATTAGGGAAGATCGCGCGCGTTTTTAACGCACGTTACGTGCGTCGCTAAATTTCTCTCAAGGACACAAAAATATGTATTAAACAAGTAAAATTCTGAGAAATGCTGGAGCTCAAGTAGAGCTGAAAAATTTGGAATTCTTCCAAAATTAAGTTTAACTATGATGCAGTCATATCGCGTAGACATCAAAGCATTTCCATTTTCACAGCAATCGAAGCGTCGGGAAAACCTGATTTTACACGAGACTGACTGACTATAGATTTACAATACGAACGAAAGGACGCAATCGGCTGTTATTTCGAGCCAACGGGAAGGTCAGACACACCGTAAATCATTAAAATTATGCGAGTACAGGTGACATTCGAATATATATTCGTAAACATATGTATACATTGATTTTATTATTTGCTCCTAAGAGAGTTAAATAACACTTCATTCTTCGGCCGTGTAATTGCCAAAAGGCCAAGGAAAGGATCGTCGTAACAGATGTTTCTTGCCGTAGGCGACCCTCATATATTCATTCATAATTCATTGTTTTCTTTTTTTTGCCGCGCGAAAATGTCTCGTCGGCGCGTAATTTGCGAAGCCGTAATTTCCGACGCGACATCGTTACAGCAGGAAGCGTCAACAGTTTCCTAATTGTGCCGGCGAGGAATAACTCGTCTCCAGTTTTGCGACGCAAAAAATAAATAATGGGAAAAAATAAAGCGGCGATTTTTACGAACGCTCCTGTGCGCGCTCGCGTACACTTCGGACTTTATGGAATTCCGGAAACCGGTTTCGCAAAATGTGCCTCGTGTATATCCGCTCGCGGTGTTGTCTCTTAGGAGAGACCTAATATGGGGAGGGTTTTATCGCGGAGTCTTTACGGTTTGAGAACAATCGAACAAATGGCGAGAGGATCGCGTCCGTCGTAAATCAGAAGAAATATTTATCGAATGAATTTGATTGCCGGAACGTTCAAGGGCAGTCCAGGATTATACGAAATTTTCAAAAGCAAACGCGAATTATTCTCTGCGATATTTACGCAAATATATATATATATATATATATATATATATATATAATTTTTAGTAAGACGCAGCAATATGGTCTATGCGCCGTTAGGAAACATTATTTTACTCCGATTTATAAACGTACCTTGATGAATAAAATTTGACTAGTTCGGGAGATACCCTGTAGCTTCCGTCGGCGTTTATCTGCAAAGTGAAATGCATCCCGAAATATGCTTCTCGAGAGAAACCGGAGCTGCCTGGTACCACTTGAGATATCGCACTGTGAGATACAGCGTGTTGCATCTAATGTAAAATAAAATTATTTCTCAATGAATGTTAGTATTCTTAAGAAAAGAAATTTTATCGATTTTAAATTACATTTTATTACGCTTACCTGTCAACGCTCATGTCGATTTAAAGTTTGCTCCAATTTAAAACCCATCTTCATATAAAAATAATTTTTTTTTCTCATAACTTTTGAAGTCGAAAGCACTTCTTGATTGGCGTCGTCGTCTCGAGAAGCAAATTGGGCTATAAAAATTCGGCTCGTGTTTCCTGCGATGACATGTTCGGCTGGATCGCGGCTGTAAATCGGCCACGATGCAGTGGTGTAACTTGCATGCGCGATCATCGAGCGCAATTGTCTCTGACTCATCTCTGCGGTGTTTGCGCGAATGCAAATTAGTGGGACAAACGCGATCTTAAATGTCAATAGCGTAGGCGTAGCGCCGATCATCATTCTGATGATAATATAATTTAACCCCTCAGCTGAGTCAACGTGACGCGCGAAATATATATATAGGTATTTTCGTTATTTACGACGTTTTTAAATCGACGCGACATCAACGTTTGTTCAACACGTCTTCTATCGTTTATTTCTTATTCCTTCTTTCTGTCTGAAAATGACAAGATATATTAAGAGGATGATGACATGTCGCGCTGCAATTTTTACAATGTCGCTCGAGGGATTCTCTTCTGCTGTCTAGTCGGGACAGGATTTTAAACGATCTTCAATTGTCGTTGGAAAAATTTTTTTCCATCGACAGTCTCTTTTCCGAGGGCGAGTATTCTTCGAGCATTCTGCGTTCTTCTTAGCTTTACACTTCAACTTGTCTCTTCACAATTGCGGAACTCGCAGTAGCCGGAATGCAGCAAAATACGTCAGATAATATAAGAGCATCGTCAACAATGTTTTAGAGGAACGTTTGTTTGTAAATTGTGAATTATTATCGTTCGCGCGTAGATGTTAGTAATGATTCAAATGTTGGATTATTTTTGAATTGAGATATTCTCATTCGTATACGATTGGGATTGGATAAATAAGTCCTTCGAGGAAAGATCTTTCCTGCTCTTGGGGAATTCCAGGGAATTTTCTTGTCGCGTGTGCAACCACGGTATTTAATGCATTCCCGCGAGAAATTTGGCCGGGCGCCAGTACAGTAATGATAATAGACGTCGGCTAACTATAGTTGCTTAGAGAGGGGGGACGTCAGTATTCATTTCAAGGCGTGTTAGAAACACGACATCCCGCAATAACGATGATCCATGGTGCCTCGAAATCTCATCGTTCGTCATTAATCAACGTTACACGCAGATAAATGTGCGCTTCCGACGCTGCCTTATATACACGCACGTACCGTTTTGTGTATCCATTCAGCATCTTGGATCACACAACGCGATAAACGGCGGCTTGACTTTTTATTGAATTATTCTATGAAAGATTTTAAATTGCTATGCGTATATATGCGCGTTAAGTATTAGTGATTAAGGAAATCGCGCGGTGCGATGTATACGTTCAGAGAAGAGCTTATCTTATCAGGGAACCACCTTGGCAAGCAGTCACGTAATTGTCTAATTTATGTATTCTTAGTACGTAACCATGACTACACAGAGGAAACGAGACTTAATTACGCATGTAGGAAGACAGTTGTGAAATGAGAAAATGCCGAATCTACTTTTACCGCGGCATACATACCATCGTAAATGTGTCAATTACGGGATGTTCTACAATTTTTATACGCACTCAATTAAAATAAATATGTACATTTTATCTCTATATATATTCTATATATATTTTTCTTTATATATATTCTATATATATTTCTATATATACTATATATATATATTTCTCTATATATATTCTATATATACATATGTATACAGAGTGTCCCAGAACTGGCGAAAAAGTTTTTAATGCCAGATTCTTGGTATCATTAGGAGAGAATTTTTCCTCCGCGAAAATGTAGAGACACCAATAATTTTCGAATTATAAGCAGCTGAAAATAAAGGCTTTTTTGAAAACTAAACCTTGTGGAAATAAAATATTAACAGAACTACATTCTTCGGTTAATTTTAAAGTTTGCTTTAATAAAATTTTAATACAAGGCTTTGTTATAAAGATACATAATAAAACAAAAGTGAGAAACATGCTAAAAATGATGGCCTCTCTCAACATTTTTACTAAGGAAAAAATCGTCTCCAAATGATACCAGGAATCTGCCATTAAAAACTTTTTTGCCAGTTCTAGGACACTTTATATATATATATATATATATATATATATATATATATATTTGTTTTCTCTCCTTCTAAGAGAGCCATTAACGATTGTGACGCTTTACGTGTATATCGACTGAAGGGACGCGTGTAATTTAACATGAACTGGATGCGAGGGTATACCGTAATTGCAGTGATCTAACATAGGCCGTGTGTGAGATGATCGCGGGAACCTTCGTCTGGGTGGTCGAGAATCCTGACAATAAGTCGAGACCCGTTTCTCATTGGTCCAGAGCGTCTGGATCTGGAAAGGCTAGAATCACGTTCCCAACATAAAAGCAGCATTTTAATCACCGCTGGGCGTTTACGCGTGAACAACGATAATCTATGTCTGCATGTCGACTATATGTAGATCATCGTTTCACGCGTTATCTAGTGCACGTGTGCACGTATAGCTTCTCCACCTTAATCTTGTTTAGCGGAATAGAGTTTGAATCAAGCCTTGTTTCCGAGAAGCTAATCTTAATAGGAAAAAAATATAATTATATATATGAATATTGCGTGATTAATTTCCTCGATTATACTGCCGTATATCGGGACTTAACAGCGTTAACGCAACCGTGGCGGGAAATAATGCCGTCTCACGAAAGAGACAGATCATGCGATAGGAATTGAGAAAGGAGATCCTTATTTAAATCACTTTGCATGTCCTGTGGAGATGATGACGTCAGCGATCGCGTAGCTTTGCGCTCGCGGTTAAGGGTTAAACGAAAGCGAGACGTGTTAAAAGAGGAAAATAAAAAGGAACAGAGCCTTGAAACTTGTCTGGCGCGTGGGTGTTGCAGGATGATGCATCAAAGGAATAGCGAGGCCCTTTATGTCCGCAGGTTCTCAAGGTGTATTTACGCAACTCTTTATTTCTCGTGTGTGGATATCCTTGAGTCTAGAATTCTTACGTGCCCAGACGAGCACACAGTGTCGATAGCGTTTGCAAGTCTTTCTCGTCTTCGGCTAACTCCTTCAAATTTCCTTGCTTTAAACTCTCGATTTCAAATCGTATCGAAAATTATTCTTATCTTCTAGTCTTTCGACGGAATAGATGGTAGATTGCTTCGAGTCTAGGAATTTCGCTTAAGTGGGTCGGCAGTAAATTAATGGGATCGCCTCTGAATACTTCCCGGAATATTTTCTACATTTGGTTTCTCGATCTTCTCGAGATATCGAGCATAGGGAAAATATTTTTTAGGTCATCGTCACAAGGGAGAATTGTCTCGGGATCATTACGTCATCCATCCGTCGGCATCGCATATTTAGAAACTCTCGGCACGTATTGCTTCATCGTGTATTATCGTGCATGTAACAAGAGCCAGTTCTATTGTATATCGAGATATCAAAAAAAATATGTAAAATTTGACTCGAGCTTGTACTACTTTTTTTTACGAAAAAAAGTTTATTGTAGCTATAAAATTTTCTTATTTTTGATCTATGTACCTTTCGCATTTATCCATCTATCGCTACGCGACATTTGATGTATTTTTTGTTGAAGAATGGAGGAAGTTAGCAAATATAGTTATTTCTTGTCATTTATTTTTTGTTCTATTTTCGTCTATGAGTGGCATGAAGTCACGGTTAAAATGGCCCTAAGCGGCTTATGTTTTACGGGTTTTGTAAATAAGCGTGACACCATTACCGCGAGAACAGTTTTGCTATTTCTGATACATATTTTATATATTTTTTTTGACGCATCGAACGTTAGGAATGAACGATGATGTAATAGCTTAAAATAATTTTCGAAATGTTGCGAATACAGAATTGACCGTCTATATGTACGTCTATATAACGTGTTTTTAGAGAGCGATAAGTTATTTAAGTTTTTATGACTTCCCTATACCACGAGTTCTATAGGACTTCTTTGAAACCATTAAGAATGCTCAGAAATATAACTTAGTTTTGACGATATAAACCCTCATTGGCGACTTAAATTCGATATTTTTAATCTGAGTCTTCTTTTGATCTCTCCATAGGCTTTTCTTTCATCCTCAGCCATAATTTTTTTCGCACGTGCTACTAAAGTTTTATGGAGCATATCTCTTTTCTGCGCGATAAAAATTGTTATAACTGTCTTCAAAATAATTAATAAAATCAATATGATTTATAAATTGTTTGTTCCTCATTTATTTGACTAACGTGATCGCGCGTGAATCAAAATTTAAATTACATATATGATGATCGAAAGACCGCACTGCGCAATAAAAGGGTCGATGCGCTTAATTAAATGGCCATTATATATATATAAATGGAGAATACGCCCATTTCATAAATCTAGGGCCAAACCTTTCGCATGTAAGCCGGAATTTATTTTTTCGGCGATTGTCATGGGCGTAGCCCGGTTAATAAAACATGTTTAAATCGAGCGCGAATTTTTATCGCATCCACTTATCGCACACATTGTAAGGCAACAATGGCAACTCTATTACTTTGGCACAATAAGTAGGAAGTGCAGCCTATTAACGCCGCCTCTTTTACGTCCTGCGTTAATTACTATCATAATAAGATGCGCAAAAGTTGTTAAACAACACAATATCCGCGCGATTTAACATCGGTTATTTAATATTTGTTTCAGGTCGAGTCGGTGGATTTGGCGTTGAAAATTTTAGACGGCTCGCAAATCCGAGGGAAAACATTGTCGGTCCAGAGAGCGAAGTTCCAAATGAAGGGCGAGTACGATCCCGCGTTGAAACCGAAGCGGAAAAAAAAGGATAAGGAGCGGCAGAAGAAGATGCAAGAAAAGTAAGTCTCTAATTGAATCATTTAAATTTCATGAATGATGAACCTTAAAATAATCAGGCGCGCGCGCGCGTTCTGTGCATTTCAATTTACATACTTTTATTTTTTTATATTTTTATTATTTTTCTATATTTTTATTTATTTCTATTTTATAAATATAAATTTACCTGGAAATGCTTGCCTTATTTGCCGGCTTAAAGCGTGGTGTCACTTCCTGCCGAGTCGCTCCGTATAATTCGGGTTCGCTGAATCGCGTTGCAAAATCGGGATGGTCGCGATGGTTTCTCCTCGGTTTCTCCTCGGTCCATTCATCTCTCTCTCCGCTTGCGTCCGTGCGAGACGGCGTATATATTCCCGGAGGGGAAATCAAGATACGCTTCGTCCACGGTGCGTGAATCCGTGCCGCCACGCGTGTGCATCTTATTAAGGTCTCTATATGTGCACTGCGTTACGTACACGTGTCGCAAGCGGCTCGTTTTCAAGCAGTTGCATCGCATCGGGATGATTTCGAATTGCGATGCTCGCAATTCGTTGCGTGTGTGGGCGATAATTTAAAAGAAATCCTTTTTCACATATACGTGTCTTTCGCGCATGTAACACGTGTGTAAAGGCTTTTATAATTGCGCTGCCATCGGCTCGCAGCCGCCAGACTGCTTGGCGTTGGCGGTTCCGGCAAAGGCAGCTGCACACGTCGATTACCCGCATTTTAGCCCGTCGGTCCGTGCATACAGGCGGACCCGAAATTATATACGGGCACGGTGCACTTTGCAAGAAGATTACGGAGACTTAATTCGTTAATCGAAATGTATGCACTCGCCGACTACCATCGATCACCTCGATATATATCAATGTAATTGCACAAGCATTTCTTTTAGGAAATCTACGAAAAAATGTGCTCCATCTCTTGGATGCATTTGTAATGATTTAATGATTCGATTATAATTGAATTAAAATTTAATTAATTATAAAAAATAAAATTTAATTTAATCGAAAGATTTCGAAATAGGAAGATTCAATATTCAGCATTTCTCTCTTTTAGGACATCTCAGGAAAAAAATATTCGATCCAGAATGCATTCATAACATTTATTAATTTACCGATTCAATTATAATTGAATTAAAATTTAATTGCGAAGAATATAAAAAAGCAATTATATGTATAACGAAATGGCCTTTACTTTCCAAAAAAGGCACTGCTAACGGCATTTATAAGACACTTGACGCATTTTTAATATCAATTTGAAAATCTCCTCACGCCGTGCCATATTTCATCGTATTGTTCGATCGCGAGACGCATCTCTCTGTCATTTTTATCGTCTGCATCGTCTCGTTATCCGGCGTAGGTCGCGAGCGCAGGGTCAACGCCCTGAACTTTGCGAAAACCAGTTATCGGCGAACGTGTGCGGGCCCACGTTTTGCCGGCCGGAAGTAGTCTTTGCAGCAACACGCTCTTTCGACACTCTACGTATTTGTGAATCTACGCGCGCGTTGCACTACAACACGTTTCCTCTATCGACATAATTTCTCCCCCGAGCTGTTCTCAGAAGCAGAGTCGTGAGCCACGATTTGTCGATCATCGTGACTATCCTCACGGCTGACAAGTTGTTCTCGATTATGCAGCAATCTGTACTGTATCAGCGAGATTTGTCGGCATCTTTTAATCATTCAGGAACGTCACTTCTAATAATGATAGTAGTGAGTTGACATGATGTAACGCACATACATAATGTAATATAATGGAAGCTGCAGGATTTCAAGTTATCTAGATCTCTCGGTTTATCTTCGTTAATAAACGACGATTTTGGAGATTGCGATTAAGAAAACTTTGAAGATTTAATTAAATCTTTAGAAGAGACATTCATGATTATCATGATGATTGAATCTAAATAAATAAAAGAATAAATATTTCACAACCAATACTGGATAATAACATTTATTTAATACATTTACACATTTAGTGGTTTAATACATTTTAGATTGGCGAAAATAGAAAGAATCTTAATATAATTCTTTCTATTATATTTTCACATTCGTGGTTCATTATTTGTTTACATATAGATTGTTTGACTGGCGACCGGAGCGCATGCGGGGCGAACCGCTAAAGTGCGAAAGGGTTGTTATTATAAAGAACCTTTTCACACCTGAGGACTTCGACAGGGATGTCCAGCTGCTTCTAGAATACCAACAGGACATCCGGTCCGAGTGTCTTAAGTGTGGCGACGTCAGGAAGGTCATCATTTACGACGTGAGTTTTTTTATTTGACTATTTTGCGTTTGTGTTACTTTCCTTGTGTTAAGTGTTATTAAGTTTTAATTAATTATAATTAAAATAATTACAATTTTCTAATCATATTCTCTAAAATGTTAAAAACTATGAATATTGGATCTAAAAACAAACTCTCTTAACATGTTAAAATTGTTGCTTAAATCGCTTGTTTCTTGTTCAAATTGAATCAAATGATCGATCCTTCTCGGGATATTTTTAACGACTGAATTTTGCGAAAGGCGGGAATAAGATAACGCCTTCGAAAAGGGATGCCTCTAACCCCCATAAATCGAGAGGCGAGAGGCAAAATACTCCCAGTCTTTGCGCCTCTACTGTGAAACTGTTCAATGTCAAAGTATTGTACATTCCATTTGCACGACGTGTGACACTTCTTTCCGCGTGTATTTCTCGTTTTCTTTATTTTTCTATAGAGCTGCTCGATATTATTGTCACGCACACATGTGCATTGTAATTGTCTATTATTTAAAGGATGAAGTCTTTATATGTAGCATTTAATTTGCTGATAAAGTTGTTGTAATTACAAATTCTGCAGAGCACAAATCTACGTAATACAGCTTATTTTTTTGTACTGCGATGCGATTTTAAGTAGCCTCGACTTTCAAAATGCGAGGCATTTTATATTCTGCTATCTAATTTACCATAGGCATCTCACTGCCATTTTTCTCATCTTGAGAGCACATGTTACCACCAATGTGGTTTAGAATGAATCATATCTCTTTACGTTCTTGTCGTGCGGTTTGTTAAAGCGATAGATCAAAGAAGAACCGCCAATAATTTTAGTGGAATTCTAGAACGTCTACAATTATTTTGCAAATGAGATGGAAGAATGAAACCTGACAAAATCTGAAAATCATAATTATGAATTAAAATCTGAAAATATATATAAGTATAATATTACTATATTTATTTAATAATATATTTCTCAAAAATATTATTATTACGAATTTTTCTATATGATATTTCTCAAGTATTTAATTAAATAGAAATACTCTCAGCAGAACAAAATTCTAAAAAGTAAGTTTTAATTACATTTTAATTAAAATTATTCTTTTCTATATTTCATTCCCAGTATTAATATTGATTCTAACAGGCAATCTGTTGTTCAAATGTGATTCAATAAAATGAATCGGTTTTGTATTTGATATTTTTTGCGGATCGCCTTATATTTGTCTTCTCTTAGAGACATCCTGAAGGAGTAGCGCAAGTCACATTCCGAGAACCGGCAGAGGCTCAAGCTTGCATACAGCTTCTGAACGGCCGTTGGTTCAGCCAGAGGAAGATATCAGCGGAGATCTGGGACGGCAAGACCAAATACAAGTAAGTGATATTCCATTGCAGAGTCCTACCATGTCGACTTTAGAGTCAACACCGATAGTTGCTGGAACAGGCACTTGGATCAATCAGGAACCTGAAACGTTTCTGTATTTCCTCGCATATTTGCTGTTTTAAAAAAATATTTATATAAAGGATTATTACGCTACAATATGTTATTATGTTTTCGAGAAATATTTCAATTAGCTACTTGTGAATAATTACCTGACTCGAAAAAGAAGTCGAGTGTCTCTTGTAATATTCGCATCATTTATCCATCACTGGTATTGTAGTCTCTATTCAATTAGACGCTGTAATAATTGCAATACTGATTGCAGACATTTTTTTAAAGTTGTCGCAGAATGCAACGCAGATTCATATTACTGACCGAAATAAAAAGTATACCAGCTGTTAATGCATCGAAATATGTCTTATAGAATTACAGAAACTGACGCGGAGATTGAAGCGCGACTAGAAAAATGGGATACATATCTGGAGCAAGAAGACGAAAAAAAAGCAAAGAAGGAGCAGGAAACGAGCAGTAAGATGGAGCAAAAAGTATCACAATAAGAATGCATTCCACGATCGATAAAATTGTAATCATGTTTTAACAAATTCTATTTTCCTTATTTCCAAAAATCCTCGTCGTCGTTTCACTTTTAATGTTAAGCTCAAAGCTTTTCCTTTAGGCGTTTTAATAAGAGCATGATGATTAATCGATTCTGTCGACGACGGCGTGGTTGAGATTTTAAGCTGCTCGCAGCTTTGTCGTTGAATCGGCGCTACTGTTGTATTAGTGATATATTGTTAGTCGTTGCAACAATAAAGATACCTCTTCGAGTTATCTTCTCTTATCGCCATCCATTTCCCAAGATGTCACATCGCATTAATCTATGTTATCTTGATTTTCTTTCCTCAGTTCCAAATCCCTGTATCGAAGAAATGCATGCAAAGAATAGAATATATTTTGAACATATATTGTAAGAATTAAATTTGAAACTTAATGATCAAAATGTCAATAAATAGCTTAGTATAATCTTAGTAATAATCTTCTAATTAATATGTGGATTTGAGAAAAATTATATAAGATAAAAAATAAAAAGAAAACAAGAAAAAGAGAGACAGGAATTCTTTGGAATTCTCTAATTTGCTATTTCGGCGTTCCTGACAATCTCCTTTCGTGGGACAGCGGGAGACCGTCGCTGCCGATCTGTCAAAAAAACGTCGTTCGCAGCATCCTTGGATCGCGGCGTCCTTTCTCGCGGCGATCCACTCGAGCGAATTGCTCGTCGAAGTCACCTGATCGGCAGTAAACGCTATTTACCGGAAATACTTTGAAACGAGTCAGCTGAAAAACCAGAGTTAATAATTGCTTTTGTCCTTCGAAGTTATTTTCTTGAGACTTGCAAGTTTTTCTCGGAAAATTCCTTTAGCGAGATATCGTAAAATTATTTTAAATTAATATAAAAATGTTTTTATATCCCATTTCTTATGTTTCTTATACCTTAATATTCTCTGTGTTTAAACGCGAAATTTTTAAGTGAGACATGAAAGAAAAAATTTCAGATCTCGATGTTTAATAAATACTTTTTAAATTCCTATATCTTTTTTCATCAATGATCAAACAACGCCAATTTTTTCCGATCGGCACACGTGGCGAAAAAGAACAACACTTCGAAACGCGGGGGTTTATTCGAGCGGTGTCTTTGCTTCCTATTGTCTGGCATATATTCGAGCCATCCCCCTCGCGATGGGGATGAAAGCATGAGCGGCGGCATATTTCAGTCGTCCCGCGTCATTCATGATCCCAGAGAGGGCAAGGCGATCCCGTCCGGCAATATCACTGACAAATTTAATGCCCAGCTATTAGGCAGCGGTGGGGTTCACCTCGTCCCTTCTATCTGCCTATTGTCGAAGTGGCCACGTGCACGATGACTACTGTTCCTCTCGCCCGGGCGAAAACGTTTAATCGTCATCTTGTCCGGAGACCTCCCGCGAAAAAATACCCTACGCCCTTGTCACGCTTGTCGAGGGTTATTGGATTTGCCCGTCGCTCGGAAGTGCTAAGTCGTTCGGGAACCTGCTAAGTTACACACGAGATTACACAGGCCGGTGTTAATGTTCGACACGATTTGATACAGTCAAGTGTTTGTCGAGACGTTATATGTTTTCGGCCGCAGCGATTATTTACCCTGCAAATAAATACAATTAAAAGAAATTTGATTTATTTCGTGCAACTAAATTTGCATAATCTCCGAAATTAATTGATTATGAAATATTTTATAAGAATGAGAATATAATTAATATAAAATTGTTATGAGTTTCCATGACGCGCAGTCTCTTTATAAGCGATTCAATGCATCAACCTACCTAAGATCTCAATGTTATAAGTTATAATTATTAAATATGAACGTACACAGGAAACATATTCGGATAAAATTTTATTCATATAAATAAATATTAAATACATGTATATATTATATAATATGTGAAATAGCCTCAAAACTTATGATACTAAATAATATGTAAATAAATGCATATTTTACACATAGATAAATATAATTAATAAATTAACAGTTTTTTAAGAGAATCAATTTAAAGAATGATAGACTCTTATTAATAAATTTATACGTATATATAATATCGATTTAATACGTATATATAATATCGATTTAAATATTAGCCTAAGATTTAATACTCTTCGGCGGAGTCTACTTCATCAGCATCTTCGATTGATCTTCTGAATCGAAAGCCACCAGTTATACCAACCGAGGGAGAGAGTCCATGGCCTCCTGGACGTGGTTCAAACTGAGTGTGACCTCTGATGAAACCATTATTGCCGAAGTTTCTTTCAGCCTGGATACCGAAGTGCGGTTGTACTGATTGTCCAGGTACTTTATTCAGTCCTCCGAAGACATCCGCCGTTGTACGACCATTATCAAAAATATTACGATTAACGTTAAGATCCCAGCTAGGTTGACGCATCGGTCCGCTCAGAGGTTGTGTTCCTTGAAAAGTTATCGAACCTTGTGGTTCTGCCTCTCGCCTAAAGCGAAAGCCACCAGTTATACCAGCCGAGGGAGAGAGTCCATGGCCTCCTGGACGTGGTTCAAACTGAGTATTACCTCTGATGAAACCATTTTTGCCGAAGTTTCTTTCAGCCTGGATGCCGACGTGCGGCTGCACTCGTTGTCCAGGTACTTTGCTCATTCCTCCGTAGATATCCACCGTTGCGCGACCATTGTTATACACATTGCGATTAGCGTTAAGATCCCAGCTAGGTTGGCGCATCGGTCCGCTCAGAGGTTGTGTTCCTTGAAAAGTTATCGAACCTTGTGGTTCTGCCTCTCGCCTGAAACGAAAGCCACCAGTTATACCAGCCGAGGGAGAGAGTCCGTGGCCTCCTGGACGTGGTTGAAACTGAGTGTGACCTCTGATGAAACCGTTTTTGCCCAAGTTTCTCTCAGCCTGGATGCCGAAGTGCGGTTGTACTGATTGTCCAGGTACTTTATTCAGTCCTCCGAAGACATCCGCCGTTGTACGACCATTATTATAAATATTACGATTAACGTTAAGATCCCAGCTAGGTTGACGCATCGGTCCGCTCAGAGGTTGTGTTCCTTGAAAAGTTATTGAACCTTGTGGTTCTGCCTCTCGCCTGAAGCGAAAGCCACCAGTTATACCAGCCGAGGGAGAGAGTCCATGGCCTCCTGGACGTGGTTCAAACTGAGTGTGACCTCTGATGAAACCATTATTGCCGAAGTTTCTTTCAGCCTGGATACCGAAGTGCGGTTGTACTGATTGTCCAGGTACTTTATTCAGTCCTCCGAAGACATCCGCCGTTGTACGACCATTATTATAAATATTACGATTAACGTTAAGATCCCAGCTAGGTTGACGCATCGGTCCGCTCAGAGGTTGTGTTCCTTGAAAAGTTATTGAACCTTGTGGTTCTGCCTCTCGCCTGAAGCGAAAGCCACCAGTTATACCAGCCGAGGGAGAGAGTCCATGGCCTCCTGGACGTGGTTCAAACTGAGTGTGACCTCTGATGAAACCGTTTTTGCCCAAGTTTCTCTCAGCCTGGATGCCGACGTGCGGCTGCACTCGTTGTCCAGGTACTTTGCTCATTCCTCCGTAGATATCCACATTTGTGCGACCATTGTTATAAACATTGCGATTAGCATTTAGATCCCAACTAGGTTGGCGCATCGGTCCGCTCAAAGGTTGTGTTCCTTGAAAAGTTATTGAACCTTGTGGTTCTGCCTCTCGCCTGAAGCGGAAGCCAGCGCTTACACCAGCCGAGGGAGAGAGTCCGTGGCCTCCTGGACGTGGTTGAACCTGAGTGTGGCCTCTGATGAAACCGTTTTTGCCCAAGTTTCTCTCAGCCTGGATGCCGACGTGCGGCTGCACTCGTTGTTTAGGTACTTTGCTCATTCCTCCGTAGATATCCACATTTGTGCGACCATTGTTATAAATTTTGCGATTAGCATTTAGATCCCAACTAGGTTGACGGATCGGTCCGCTCAGAGGTTGTGTTCCTTGAAAAGTTATCGAACCCTTTTCGGCTTCACGACGAGAACGCGGATTCTATAAAGAAAAAGAAAGATCAATATTCTTGTATAATTCTTCTAAATATAATTCTTTTGTATATTTGTATACGAAATACATGTTTCTTTATTGATATAGGTATTTATTTTAAATTTTAATTTATAGCTGAATTATGATTCTCTCTCGTTTATAAACTCTTTTTTTAATTACACTTGGCTATTAAATTATATCTAAAGGGAATACATCAATATTTTATATTTAATGAAAAACTTCTAATAATTATGTATTGGATATTGGATATTTTTTTATACATAATAAATGCTAACTTTTGACATCTGATAAAATAAGAATTACATTAATATATGAAGATCATTATTATATGCAAAGGCAGCTTTTTTATTTATTATCATATTTATAAATTACATATAAGTTTAACAGCAGTAATTCGCGAGAATGCAAAGATACTTTTCAATCTAGGAAATTCTGATTCAATGACAATTTCCAGATTTGACAAATGTCTTTGTGAGTCACGTCAGAAATACAAGGTAATTACAGCGTTAAGAATAATGTTACTAATCGTTTATGCTACGTCAAATGAGACAGGATTAGTGTGTGTTTATAAAAAAAAGTATTTTTTTATTAAAAATATGTGTGAAACATACATTCAATTTGAATAATTTAATAATCAAGTTCAAATTATGAAAAAGATTTATAAGAATCAATTTAGCTATAAATTTGAATTCAAAATAAACCTCCAAATTTTAACTTTGATTTACTTTAATGGTATTTAAGTAATAATTACTTACCTCTGGAATCAAATCCTTAGTCGGTTGTTCCCAATCGTCACTCGCATAGACGATAGCGCTTGATAAGGCCAACACACAAATAATTAACAACTTCATGATTGATAGTAATTAATTATATTCCTCTGGGAAAGTAAGGAATGTTTTCGTTTCTACTGCGAAACTACTTCTGATGCCTGTCTGCCTTACCTCGGTCGCTTATATACAAATCGTCGCGATTCGGGGATGTACTCTCAGGATGTTTTCCCAATGTTCCTGTTGCATTATCTGTCGCTCTGGGTAATACCCAGTTACTTTCGTGCGCCTGTGAGTTGAGCTCACGCATGCAATCGCTCGCGCCGGGGTTCCCTCGCGTGATAAAAGAAAATGTAAGGCTTTCATTACGTGCTTCTTTTAACACTTGCATTGTCACAACAATTGTTCACATATTGCACCTGCGTTTCCAATGATATGAGTAATGTTTTTCTCATTTTATTGATTTCGTATGACCATATTTGAATGACGAATACAACTTAAATAAACGTTGTCATGTGTGCCAGTTCTATAATTTTTTATCTTTTATTTAAGTGATAAATTATATTTTGTAATATGAAATTAGAATTGTTAATAAAATTATTACGAAGCAAAATATATAAATTTATTTGGTTTTTATATACTTGAAGATTTTAATATCACGAAAAAGTTTTATAATAATAATTTATTCTATTTTTTACTTTTAATAAAATACATATTTTTACAATTTAATTTTTACGATTATATTTTTTCTGTCTATCTCTCTCTCACTCTTGCATACATACACACACACACATACACATTAATATTTTAAAATAAAATATAAAAGTTTAATCAGAAATCATAAGTTATCTTCTCAAGGTCTATTTTAATCTCTATATTTATATTACTTGAAAAAATTAAGTATGCAAAATTATGAATTATATAATTGTGCAAGACAACTCAACAAAATAAGCAATATCAGAAATGCAAGTGCATATCATATGCATTTAATCATTAAGTATAGATTGTTAAAATTTCTAGATAATAGTAGAAAAAATAATACATATAAGCTATACGTTGTACGTAATCAAAGCGAGAGTTCACAGAAATGTCAATAATCTGCGAACCGGGAATGTCCCTCATTCTTTATCGTAAAGTTATCGACCTCAGCATCCATTTGCTGTTATAAGATGAAAATCCTCTCTACACTCATAAAAAGATAAGTCGGTGATGTCCCTCAGGAATGACGTAGACGAAAGCCTAAAAATCTTAAATTTTATTTATTATCAAGCTTTCTCTATTTGACACAGAATCTCATCTACACTTAGTGGATTCTTGTCATTTTCTCTTAGTCCCGTCTCTTATTTTCTTCTTCAATTAATAACCATAATGAAATTGCTCTCTTACCTCGTGTCATTTAAAATTTGTGAATTGAACGAAATTTTTAAATACTCATTAAATACTGATAATTTCCATATAAGATAATTTGATTTAATTATCGTTATAATTGTATTATGCATGTGTGAATTATATAATATTATTAGTTATGTAGATTTTTGCAATATAAATAATAATATTATAAATAAATTTTTACCATTATATTAAAATAGACAGCTATCATTTGTTAAAAATATTATACGAAAAATACACTCAATTTTAATAAAATAAATATCATTTTTAACTTGTATTCGCATATCAGAAGTCGATCTTTAGTGCTCCATATACGAGCAAACAGTAACATTCCATAAGCGTTTGTGGACAGTAACTAAAACGTTCGCCTATTATACGAACAGATAATTGAATTTGAATCATAATCTAATATTCTCTCTCCAGTTGAGCATCAGGTAAATGGAAGTGCTTATTTCAAAGTCTACAGTCTAAGAAGTTTTGAATTGATCATTTTGTTTAAAATTTTAAAATCGATGATAGATTCTGTTCAAGAAGAAAAATTGATCGACATGTGCAACCGAATTGCAGTTTCGAAACCAAGAAGTAGTTGCATGTTTTAATTTCGATTTCATAAACTGTTTCAATAATTGATATAGATTTTTAACAAAGATGGATGTGGAATATAGTTTTTTTCAGCGTTATCACTGGTATTTCTTTCAGGAAGTCGAGCAAATTGAAAAAAACTAAAAGTAAAGATGAACATATATACATAATGAGCAAAGAGATAAAATTTAATCAATGATTATGAACGCAATTAAAATGGCTGAATATTTGTTAAATGTTCTCAATATATTTAATATGTATTGAATTATTTTTTGGTTCTAATAATATGTATTTTTAATAATATTATTCTAGTAAATGTACAACATGATTATCAAGCGATTATATCAAATAATGAAAGACATTTGAAAAAAATATTTTAATGTATGTATCACCGAAAAAACCTACGATTTTTACACATTCTTGTACCATGCTCTAAATTTTCTCTGAATTAATTCAATATCTGAAGATGTATTTTCTCTCTCTAATATTTTAATATTTATTCACAAATTTCGATTATTTATAACATTAAGAATCGACTGAACACATTTTTCCTCCTCATTCACCCTTGTATATAAATTCAAGTTCATCTTGAAGATCGAGCTGGATGCAAGTTGAAACCAGACCATAAGTCGGTCGATTGGTGCCGCGTGAAAATGCGATTTCCGCGACAGCAACATTTCCGTAGGAATTCCATCCTGAAGACGCCATCTTCACCCCCTCTCTCTCCCTTTCGCCATGGCAAATTAAGCTTCCCAAAACACCACGAAACTGTTAATTAAGACTCATTATGCGCGCTGCGGGGGATGGTTGCCTGGGATGGAAGGGAGGTGACCGTAGCAGAGGATGAAGACCACGAAGAAGTCAGAGGAAGGGGTAGAAAGTGGCAGGGAGCATGGAGATGGTAGGCAGGGGTGGTTTAACCCGAGTACGAACTTCTTAATACCACAGCTGCAGTCGGGTTCATTGTGGGATCAATACGGGGAGAACCCGTGGTAGTGGCAGGCCAAGTGCGATTGGTTCCAACAGTCGAGCACGGCGATTGGCCAACACTGGCACTACCAGGAGGCGGGTTCTGTCGCCACGAACCTGACCTGGTGGCTAGGGTGGCGGAAAAGAGGAAGAGGACATGCGGCGTCGCCGCTCGCACGAAAAGGACGGCGACGGGAACGGTTCAGAAAAAGACAGCGACAAGCTCCAGGGAGAGAGAGAGGGTGACACACGGTGTCGCGTCTGGGGGGTTTCAGTCTGTGTTCACCCATGAGAGACACACCACCAGCGGCGACACGCTCCGCTCACGTTGTGAGGGTGAGAGGGTTTCGTTTTTCGCTCGTTGACTGATCGTTCTTTATCACTTGTCTTTCGCGTTCGATCCAAATACATCGCGATCGGAGAGTACTTGCTGCTCCAGAAAATCTATAGCCGAGAATAAATCGGTTCGTCAAGATCGGCGGAAAAATTGGTGGAGTAAATTGTGAGGCGAGTTGTACATTGTCATCTTGAACTGCAGGTGATCCTGCGTATGACGTATGAAATGAAGTGTCGAAAGCGGTGACAACAATTCCTGCTACTAGCTCAGTGAAGTGTCAATGAAGTGTTGACGAGAAAAAATAAACTGTAAACTGAGACAATTAAAATTTATTCAATTAGAAGTCATGGAGAAAATTGTATATGTCATTACAAATGATCTTATACGACAAATTACTGTCCATTGATTAATGACAATTGATCTGTATCGTAAAGTTTTGGAAGAGGATACTTTGCAAGAAGAAACGTTTTGAATAGAAAGAGAGTTTTACAAGAATTAATTATTGGCAAAAAAATCTGCGAAGTTTCTAAAAATAAAATCATAGAAGAAAAAGTGAGACTATTACCAGGCATACGCTTAGCATATGTCTTCGTTTACCTTGTCTATCTTCGTAGAATTCTTCGTAAGTGATATGTCGCAATTCGACATATCTAACTGATGACAATTACCTGATTGTGAGTTCTTTGGCATTTGCACGACGCACTTACCAAGGAAAAAGAAAGGAGAGCGATTGACTTGTGCAATCTCTTGTTTCAACTAACTTGAAGAATTAGCTGCGTATATTTGTTGTAGTTGAGTGGTTTTCGAGAAATAAGAAGAAACGCGTGGAACTGTTTCTTTCAGCTGCTAAAAATATTCTGCATATATTGCATTTTAATTAGCGGAAAGAATTGTGTCTGAACGAAATTCATGAGAATATTTTACTGTGATTAACTCGTGATCAAATGCTTAATCTTTTGTAATTATTTCTTCTGATTTCTTTACAATATATACATCAAAGCATTTTGTGATTGTGATATAACAGTGACAAAAAATTAAACGTTTCTCTATAATAATATAACTAGACAAAAATAAATTGCGATTGAGTAAACGCGCGCGAAATACATTCTAAAATTGTAAATATCGAAATTATCATTCCTGCGTGCTAAGTGACTTGATAAATTTTTAAATAAACGTATCTTGAACAATAAAATTGGTGTAAGAAAATCAGTAAAAAAAGATCCAAGTGATAACAATATCCGACAATATACTATTCAATTTTTTATGAACACAACACATTAATTACAGCGTTAATTGAATGTATCTCGAGATTGTGAATAATTTAAAATATTTAAAATAAATATTTATAAATTATTGATCGTGTCGAGTCGTCGAAGAAACTGGAATTATTCGAGTTAAATACATATATATCAGAACAGTTGACGAACAATACATTAAACTACCTCGATATCGCTATGTGTTGCAGCACGGGCTAATTATCCTTAGTGTCGAATCTAGTGAATTCTGAATGACTCTTCACGCTTGAACCGAGACCGCGGTGCGCCATCGACGGAGTCGGAGGACGAGTTAAGGAGTGGTGTTGTTCAAAAGGGTGGTGCGACGTTCGGGTACGCAAGTCTGCAGGCCAGCTCTGGGGTGCCGGGCCCGGGCGGGGTGATGAGCTGCTCCGATGTGATGTATCAATATTATCCTTACCTTTACCAGACCCACCGGCCACCGCCGCCGCATCCGACCCACCCCCATGCGGCCCCGCACAGTCATCCCCACACTAATCCGCACGCGGCCCACCACAGTCCAGCCAGGCCGGCGCCCTTTCAACCCTTTCCGGCGGCTACGGCGACGCATCAATATGACAGGGTGAGTCTATGACTTTTATTTCGATCATTCATTTTATTTTTCTCATCAGGCACTACGTTGCTTTCGAGAAAAGATGTCAATCTCAATAATCTGTATAAAAATCATTAACAGTAAAATTAGAAATAAATATTATAAATATAATATAAAATTAAATTAAGTCTTTATATAACAATTGAAATATATAAAATAGATAAAGATTATTCGATTGACAACTGATTGATCAATGATGTTACGATATGAGAAAAAATCTCGTTGTCAGCGATCTCGTCGTTAATAGACGAGGTAAAAAATTGTGCGAAGACGTTGATAGAATACGTCAGGATGCCCATCTTTTTAAAGTGGTTTATCAGCATATTTTTATAATCCCGCTTGTACCCGGTAATGTTAAATCGCTCAAAGCGATTAAAAACAGATCTGCGTTCATTAAGTTTGACGCGATTGGTAAAAAGAATTGCAGTCATTTATATTTATAACAAGACTCGCTAGTATTTTATATCAAAACTGTTTCCACACTTATGGCGAACAAACATTTTTTATTATCATATAAATTAAAGAAATAATTCTATATATAACAAAATATATATATTTTTTTCATTTACATCTTATATTATGGGGAATAGTACAATGATAGAAGTGAGTTAAAATTCTTGAAGAAAGCAAATGCTTATTCATTTCGATGTCTCGTATCTTTTATATACAAACATAATTTTTGCTAAAAGTTATTACGTCTCTGAATTTTGAATAGCTTAAATTTCCTTGAAATTCCTCAATTTTTATTCAATCTGCCGATCAGGATTCTCAAATCGTATAGCAAGTTCCAGTTGTCGAATAACAAGTAGTCCTTCGATTCACGTCCTTTGAATCAGTGGTCCTCGATTCTTGAATTCTCGATCCTTCGTGTCCGCGAATATCGCTTAGTGGTCTTTCTTAGAACTCGAGGAACACCGCGCCGACGAAATAATATTGCGCCTAACTATGCGCATCCTGAAATAGTTTCGAGAGCAAGGCAAGAAGGAAGAAGTTTCCTCGGGTAACGCGTGGAATCGTCCGTGCATCATTTTAATTTGTCTGCTGGGAGATCAGGCGTGCCCTTGCCCTCGGCGAGCACTCATCCATGCATTCGCGAGTGCATCGTGGGCTGTCAAATTCCGTTTCGCCATCTTTTCCGGCTCGGTGAGAAAGTAACGTTTCTTTTTTCCAGTACCAAATTTCTTCTCTCTTTCACTAGATAGGTATTAAACTTGTAACTAATGATGCGAACTGAGAAATTCTTGAGAACTTTAGCTGTTCGGAAAACGAAGATATTTTAAGGATGGAAATGTGAAAGAATTTTTTTGGAAAATATTATCAAAGAATAAAAAATTGTATGATATTACTGGGAGACACTCCATTATAAAATTTTAATTATAACAAGTAAAAATTTAGGAATTTACAAAAATACTACGATTTAAAGGTCTAAAATCTTTATAATTTCTACATTTTATTATATCAGCTATTTGATTGTTTAGAAACTTAGCGCATAGAAAAACGAATAATTAAAAATTTTAATTTCAGGGATAATAATTAGATATAATTACATCTCGTTATCATAGTTATCTCGAGATACAATCTCAATAGAATCAAAACTACTAAAATTTATTAGCTTGACTGAGAAGAAGAAAAAGAAGAAATCTCTTAAAAGTAAAATATGTAAAATAAAAAATTAAAAGGTCAAAGCTGATATCTTCAGATTTTTTATTAAGTAATGCACATTTTTGAAAGTTTTATATAAAATTTCAGAATTCTAAAGATTTCCTCGGGCATTTGGAAATTTTCATTGAAATTTCAATGAAAAATTGTAACTTTTTTCAACTTTTTTACACATTTATGTGCACATTCTTGTTCAAAAATGTATTTAAAATGCAATTTCAGATTGATCAGAGTTGAATTAATCAAAGAAAGCCGACTATATCTCTCTTTCTTTTTTCCAAGACATATAGTTATGAGCGTCGTTGGTCCATTTATCTATCAATCTTCCAGCGACATTGTAGAAACACGAACGTTCCGACGTTCTCGCCACTTTTCTCTCTCTCTCTCCTGTAGTCGCGATCGCGAGATAACATCCGGCAAGAGCGTTAAGCGCGCGCGATACGAGCGAAGAGGAAGGCAAGGAGAGAAAGCCGATCCTGGACAGACGGACAGGACAGGTTCTCCGCGAACGAGGCTTCCCCGAGGGAAGAAGAGGCTCATATCCTCGAGTAGTTCACGCGGCCGACACGAGTTTACTTTTATTTAAATCTCTCTCCTCTTTTTATTTAGGGTCCTGAGAAGCACCGCTCATTTTGCTCCTTTGCCGGTTTCTCCGCTCTCGCTCTGTCTCTCTCATTCTCTGTCCCCGTGGTCCCTGAATTAATAGCCGCGCTAGTGTTTTTTCGCAGTGTGTCGGCCACAACGTGCACGCGTACGAGAAGGCGCGTACAGACGTGACGCACGTTAAAAATGCGCGTCGTTTTCTCACGAGACGCACCGAAATCGCCATGCTTTATCGTTCCCGCTCGCTTGGCCGAGTAAACGAGCGAGGAGTCCTCTCGCGAAGAATGATTTACGGAGTGTCGCGATTCTTTGGAGACCGCAAACATTAATTAATTCCTTCAAAATATTTCAAAAGAGACTTTAAGTATCGTTATATCAATATAGTCTTTATCATTGTTTAAATGTGAAAAATATTTCCTGAAGGGAACACTCGGGCTGTATGAATATATAATTCTAATTATACTCCTTGAAATAGAGATTATTAAGAATAATTATAGAATCAACTGATATCATTTTCGCGAAAACTCGCAAGAAATTATCATTGTTTAAATGTGAAAAATATTTCCTGAAGGGAACACTCGGGCTGTATGAATATATAATTATAACGATATACCTTGAAATAGAGATTATTAAGAATAATTATAGAATCGAGTGATATTTTCGCGAAAACTCGCAGGAAATTAGGCAATAAAGGGAGAAATTCCGAGATCGCAGAGCGCACGATCGTTTGTTTCGTCGGAGAAACGCGTGCGCCGAAGAAGAGACAGGTGCTGGTCGCAGGAGAAGTCCGCAAGAACCGGGCTATCCTTCATTAGCACTCTCGTTACTCGACTCCCATTTCTTCTACGCGCAGCGAATGCACACATTCGGAGACTGCATCGCTGTACAGTCTTGCGACATAGTCGCAAGTTATGTCACGCAGTTTGCACTCGACAATCGGTTAATAAAGATAGGACTAATAGATATAAAAACTGTTTCAATGTACTCGATTATTGAATATTCTTCATATTTGAGCATCTTATTTCATATAAAATTTTAATAAAATTGAAACTAGTCTCGAAGACTCGACAATTGAAGAGAAATCTAGCGTCCAAGCAAGGGACTCGAGAATATCTAAATTTTGTGCTAATAAAATTCAAAATATTTAGAATCTAGGGCACTTAAGGGCAGGGAGTTTGACGAACTCGTGTAATTCGGAATCCGAATCGACGTATCGATCGCCGATCGCGAATGAAACCGAAACAACGTTGTCAAGTATCGCGTTAATCGAGTTCTACCCAGTAATTACCTGGTTCCCCTTTCTCCCGTGATCTTCTCTCGGCGAACGATAATAAGCCACCGGGCGACTCCTTCACAAAACTGGTAGAGACACCGTGGCAACCCGATCGAGTCAGAAGGCAGGAGAGATTGAGAGTGAGAGAGCGACGGTGAGGAAGAGAGAGTAGTCGTAAAAGCGCATTTTTCTCGGATATCTGGCCGATTAATGAACCGATGTCGTCGCCAGGACCACCCCGAAGGACGCGCGTACGGGACGCTGCATCCCTCGCGAGAGATAGACCGAGACTATAATACCTATCCTGCAACCAGCTCCTGTCCGTCCACCTAGCAGCAGGTCTCAAACGGACCGCGCCTTTACCTGACCAAGTTTTACGATCGTCGCGCCGAGGTGGCGATGTGTCCTCGTGTTATCGTCCCGGCGGGATCTGGCCCGGCTAAAGCAGCCTCCTGCCACGGTTTCTTTTATTATATTTCTCCTCCTCCCTTCTTTCCTCTCGGTGCACCTCCTCTTCGTTGCCCTCGCGATTAAACGAACGAAGGACACAGCTTTGCCATCTGCATGTTCATCAATTTGACTTAGTCGCGGTGCTGTGCTTCCAAGAGGAAAAATAATAGATAAGCAGGATTTCTCTACCAATCTTTCGTGCCGTGTGAAGGAACGATTGGATGTGTATTATTTTATTCGAAATTGATTTCATTAATAATTCTGTTCGATTGTATAAAAATACATGTTTATTTTTTACGAGGTAATTTCGGTGTCTCGAATTTTATCCATTCAGGCTTTTCTCCCAGATTTGGTCCATATTTTTAACGCGTTGTATTCGCGTAACTTGATTCACTTGTCATTATTTTTCTCATAATTAATAATTAACGAGACCATCGTCGGACGATCGACTTGCTTTTCAGCGAATGTTCACCAATTTAACTTACAATTAGTTGCGATGCTGTTTCAAAGAAGAAAAATAATAGCGATAACGATATAAGATCCCTCTACCAATCTTTCATGCGGCAAAAGTGTATTATTTAATTCAATATAAAATTGATTTCAAATTAATAATTCTGTTCGATTGTATAAAAATGCATGAGGCAATTTCAATGTCTCGAATTTTTTCCATCCATGTTTTCCTCCCAGATTCTGTCCATATTTTTATAACGCATTGCATTCGCGTGATTTGATTCACTCGTCATTATTTTTCTCATACTTAATTAATAATTAACGAGACCATCGTCGGACGATCGACTTGCTTTTCAGCGAATGTTCACCAATTTAACTTACAATTAGTGGCGATGCTGTTTCAAAGAAGAAAAATAATAGCGATAACGATATAAGATCCCTCTACCAATCTTTCATGCGGCAAAAGTGTATTATTTAATTCAATATAAAATTGATTTCAAATTAATAATTTTGTATGATTGTATAAAAATGTATG